TGGCCCCTACAGTCCAATGGGTTAACTCATCCTGGGCACTTTACATCCACTGGAGATGGGCCATGATGTGTTACCGCGCCCTTCTCCTCACCTGTGAGCTCCCTGAGAGCTCAGGGACCCCCAGAATACGTGAAGAGAATCAGTGGTCATGGGTGTGGTGAGGTTTAGTTACCCATCCAGCTGGCTTCCCTCAGCCTTCTGAGCGTAGAGCATTCTGAGGCTTAGTCTCATGGAAATATAAAGAAAACTTTTAAAAATGAATTAGTAAGCAGCAACTTGTAGCACCAAGTGATATCCCAGGAAGCTTGTCTGAGATCATAGCCATGAGGAAGCCTAAAGTCAGGCTTAAGGAAGAACTTCCCAAAAGTGTTCTCCAGACTTAGCATTCTCCAGGCCCCCAGGAAGGTAAGCCTTCTTATTTAGAAATCTGCTTATGGTGGGGGAGGCTTTCTCCTTTTGGCCAGCATAAGCACAGGTCTTCGCAGAGGTCACCAGAAAATGCATCCTGCTCAATGATCTTGAGACTTCAGCCACAGCTCTCACCACCATGAGTTTGGACCCTGTGCAATCTACATATTTACTTCTGTAGAATCACTGGAGCCAGAGCAGGAATGGGTCCTAGAGTCCATCCAGCCCTGCTTTCTCATCACAGGGTCTTAGAGAGTGTCCCATGATCCTTGCTCACAGATCCTGCCTCTCTCATAGATCCGAGTCCACTGTGCATTCTAAATTCAGCCATAAATATAAGCAGTGACACCCAAGAGCCAAAATAAAGGCCCACAGGAAAGAAAGCTGTCTCCTGAGGACCACATGACACTACAATCACAGCGCTTAGTCCTTAGTACAAGGTGTTAAGGAAGGGGGGACATAAAAGTGCCAACTCCACAGGCTTCCTGCTGTCCACACCTATCTCTCTAATTGGCAAGGTCATATGTAAACAGGTAAAAAATTAAATAATATTATGAGAAAAACACATAAGATCAGTCTAACAATGAGACATGAAAACTCTTTGTGATTCTGTACAGGAACCAACAGAGGGGAGGTCAAGTTCAGCAGCCACGAAGTAAAATTGGGCTGGTCCCCAGAAATGGCTCATCAGAGGAAGCTGGGCCAGAGCCAGCCGTGGGAAGCTGGCAGGGTGATCTCTTCAAGTCAAGGAAGTGACGTGGCGCACACGAAGAACCTCACTGCACACTGAAACCTGCTGACGTCTGACTTCACTCCCCTTAAGAACTGCTGTCCCGCATTCCAACTTTATCTCTTGGATAGCAGAATGACAGAGTATGAAGGTTCCTTCTTGCCCCCTCGTGGGAGATTCAAAATCATTCACTTTCATGTCTGCATTTGACTAACACTAACGCACCTTATCATCTTCTGCTTGAACTGTTCACCTACATGCACCATTTTTATCTTGATATTTCTCATATGTGTGTGTGTGTGTGTGTGTGTGTATGCGCACGCACGCACAAGCTTTGTCACTGGCATGTGCAGGCCACACTGGGCATAGTTCCATCTACAGTTCTTGAAATTTACTTTCCAGCCTCTGGGCATCATTTGCAATTATAATGCTGTCACAAGCAGAAAAGAGATAGGCTAATTAATCATTGTCAATATTGGTCCCTATTTGCCAGATGAGTTTTTTGAACAGCATGGCTGGGAATAATTTGTATCAGATTGTATTTCCTCACTTTATGTCACTGAAAACATTTATTTAGCATCATGGTCACTATACATAAATATCCTGGAAGCAATGGGGTATAACTAAACAGCACAGTTTCATTCATTATATTCAGCAAATTATGTACTGAGTACCTACATGGTACTTCAATATGTGCACTGCACTAAATTCAGAATACTGGGCTGCTGGGGAGCTTCAAGAGTTTGCATGGTTTTCTGAATTATGTCAGAACCCTCCGGTTACCTGCAGATAGGCAGAATGAAGAATTTTATGTCTGAGACTATAACTGGGACATTTAGCATGATCTAACTCCTTGGAATTCAGGTATCTTTCTAATGGGCACCCAGAGTTCTATGATTACTCAGCTTGATGGTTCACCCAACAGGACTTTGAATTCACAAGCTGATGAATCATAGAGACTAGCTGATAAACCAGAGCAACTAGTCTATATGACAGTGAAGTGACAACCACCAGCCTACTTGTTTTGGTAAGGCCTCAGTTTGCCTCAGAAAGGAAGTGACTTCAAATACCAGAAACTGGAGAAATCATCAGAGCCAAGAAGATGCTCAGTCAAAGCTATACATTGCCTCACGGTTGTCCTCTTTCACCCCTACCCTTTTCCTTGGCCTTTATTTCCTGCTTGTGTTTGGTTAACCTCTGTCTATCTAGAGGTCGTGGTTAGCTCAGTCAAAGAAGCACCCAACAAACAGTGGAATTCTGCTGGAATGATGAGGATCACTGCTTATTGAGAGCCTTCTGCTTGCCAGTTATCTCACTAGATGCTTCCCAGTTCACATAATCATTGTTACTTAATCCTCATTACAATTCTGAGGAGACAGATACCATCAATCCTGTGAGCACAGAGGGGCCTAAGGAGGCAACAGGACCCACCCAAAGTTACCAACCTCACGTGAAACCCAGGTGAGATTCAACCCCAGCTCCTCCTACGTCTCATGCTCACTTTGGCTTCCAAAAACCGACCTCTCAGGACCAGGACTTTTTCTGTTCAATGAGTAGCTTGTAAGCAGATTTCTGGATTCCTGGGTGTACCTGGAATTTCTCTGGAAACTGGCTGATGTCCTTTAAAACTTAGAACCTGTTTACAAGAATCAACTGAGAAAAGTTCTGCTTAAAAGAAAAAGGGGGAAGGGAGATACCTGTGGTCACACAATATCTTTTGAAATAGCTTTAAGGCTCTGAGTAGACTCTGTTATTTAAGAAAATTCACACATTAATCCCTTCAGTATTTCTGAGCGGACTCAAGGCAGCCCAACTCGCCACTCCCTCTAAGGCGCTGTGTACTGCGCCTCACTGGAGAATCCACACGGCGCAGCACCCAAGCAGCCCAGGGGACCTTCCCAAAGGTCATCAGAAAAAGAAAAGGAAGTGAGCCCAGAGTTTCAACTCTTCAGGTTTTCTCAGTGAGAGCTGTTGACAGCTCTTTCACAGACATGCCAACATTTCACAGTTTTCCCACCATCCAAGCCCTCAGATTCCCCTTTGATTACAACTTCGTGAAAATTATGTTTCATTCTCATGCTGACCATCGGACACTGGTTTTATCTGCCACCGAGATTTGTCCCTGGCATATGTGGGCCACACGGGGCGTAGTTCCATCTACAGTTCTTGAAATTTATTTTCCAGCCTCTGGGCATCATTTGGAAGAAACCCTGGATGTGTGCTTGTAAATTAACGTCAGCTACCTCTTGCTGCCTCCTCTATACTTAAATACTCTTACCCGTTCTCGCTGAACTGAGTATGCTTGGAATGGGACCGTTTCCTCATGCACAATGGTGCTTGTCCTGTGGAAAGTTAACCCATGTTAAATAACACGAATAAAATGCTCAAAGAAATGGGTCTTTGGGGCCATTACTTTTCCAGACCCTTCATGATGCCATGCTGCAGGTTGGGCAGTGTCAGCTGAGACCTCTGTAACATCTGCCCCTAATGGAGCAATGGTCCCAGAAGGGAGTTTGTGTCCACCGACAACAGTACCTGAATGAGGTGAGCCTTGGGGCCCGGGGACAGGGAACAAGACACATGTCACATGCATGTGTTTTTCTGAGGGAACAGTGGTCCTTACACATGAGTATGGTTTAAAATTGACACTTATGGAACCGTCTGTAGTACCATCAGAAGATTTCAGCAATTTCAAGAGTAGCTTGCTCCATGCGGATGTATCTTACAAATCAAACAAAATGAACACATTGGAACAAAAGGCCCTGCCTTCTGCAGCAGAGCTTCCAGGATCCTTCCCCACCCATCCCCCTACATGGCTTCTAGGACACCTGCCACCCGCCCTCCATCCTGTGGTCCCCCAGCAGTTGAGATCCCACAGCTGAATGCTCTTTGCATGCTGCCTTGACTCTTGCCCACTTCTTGTATGTGTGTCTCATTTCCCCCACCAGGCCAGGCTCAGACATTCACCCACCTATCACAGCACCAGCCCATCAATAACCTCACGTGACCGGCCCCGGGGCAGTCAAGTCAGGGCTGCGAAAATGCCTCGGAGGAGCGATTTCCAGGCAGAAGCACAGAGTGCTGGAGAAACTATCCTGTGGGACTGGGCAGTGCCTAGGAGAGAAGGAAAGGACTGGCAAGAAGGTTCTCAGCTGTTGCTGGGGATGCGCTGTGTCCTGCCCTCTCCCCCACGTACCTGTGTTGGCGTCCCCACCCCAGAGGAGATTAGGAGCTGGTGTGTGGGGGGAAAGGCCCAGGTCCTCAGCTTCCCAGGAAGCCCTGCTGGGGGGCCTGGGGATGGTCTTCTCCACCAGACCTCTTTGCTGGGCTTTTGAAGATTTGGGCACCTGGACTAAGGCCAGCAGTCCATCCCACAGAGGCCATGCAGGGTCACTTACCAAGCCTCCCTCCTTCCCCTTGCTCTCTCTTCTCTCCCCAAAGCCAGAGGTCTTGGTCAGGATTGGGCTATTCACAGAAGCGCTAAGTCCACCAAAATGGGAAACACCATAGGACAATATCCCAAACAGGAAGCCAAGGACTCGCTCTCCAAGGCTCCAGAGCCAGAGCAGGAGGGCTTTGTCCCTGTGTTCAGTCATCTCCCTCAGGCACCCAACTCAGGAAAAGCCCCAGACCGTAACCCTCCACCCCAGGCCTACTGTCCAAGATCCCAGTGGGGGGCAAAGCCAGGCAGGGCCAAGCTGAGTCTGAGATGAGCCCCTCCTGGGCCCTCCTTGGGGCCTGGAGACAAGCTCTTGTGGAAAAGCAAACAGGCTAGGGACAGGCTGGGGACCTGCCCTTTGGACCTTTTGCAACTCTCCTTAAGCCAGGGCCTTCTATAAATGGGGCGCTCGTGCGGGCCGGGCATTCCCACTGCACCTGCCCGGAGCCCAGCCGGCTGTACGTCCCAGGGAGCCCGCGAGCCGGGCAGCGGACAGAACCGCACTGCCGGCAGCCAGCATGGGCCCGCCGAGGTCCGCGCTGTGGCTGCTGCTGGGGCTGCTGCTGCTGCTCCTGGACGCCGGGGCCCAGGCCGGTGAGTGTGGGGAGCCGGATGACAGCCCCACTTAGACCCAGGAGAGAGGTGGCCTGGGCAGAGGGAGGAAGCCACTGGGTCCCCAGGGTCCGCACGCAGCCAGGCCAAACCGGAACCTGCCGGAATGGAGGTGGGGGGTCCTCCAGAGCTGCTTCCCACTCAAAAACATGACCCATGCCAGAGTCCTTCCTACAAACCCTGTGCCCAGTAGGGGACATGGAAAGATGCCATTTTCTTTCTCTTTTTCTTTCAGAAGACAAAGCGCCAGAAAATGTCAGCCCAAGCTGTCTGAGTAAGAATTCCCCCCCGGGGGTGGGGGGCCGGCCTGAGCCCCAGCTGGTCCTTCTGGTCACCAGGGCCCCTCACTCACATGGCACTGAGGCAAGGCTTGGATTGGTGTGCACTGCTGGGAGCCCCAGTCGGGGCCCGGGCTTCTGCCTTCCCCACCCCAGGGCTCTCAGCCCATTCTGCCTCCTCTGTCCCAAAGAGTAGCCTGGGGGAGGAGAGGGAAGACTGCCCACTGTGTTAGACTGTGAACACTAAACACAAAATGTCTTGTTTATTAGTGACTAATCATTGATTCAAAGTTTGTGCAGATGAGGAAATGCTGACTTTAACCTTTGTGCAAAAATCCAGACCCCCGCAGCTCAGTGTTTACCTGACCCCAGGGGTCAGAGGAACTGGCATTGTGATGCTGCAGGACCTAATGTTCTCTGGAGAGGACCAGGAGGGCCTCCAATGAAGCAGCACCGCCATCTGGTGGCCATCTGGCATCACTACATCGAGAGCATGACCCAGTTGTTATTTTTCTCCTATTGTTCACAAAATTCCCCTTAAGCAGAATAGAATCCTCCGGAAATTCCTTCTTAAGGGCTTTTCAAATCAACCAAATATCCTTAGTGCTTAATGAATGTTGCCTCGGATAGAATCAAAATAGAATTATGGTATTTTAAAGCTGAGAAACTATCCCTTTGTTAATGATGTCAACCCTTGATGTTCAAAGGGTTTCTTCCACAGGCTTTGGGAGTCCCATTACTGGATACCTGAAACCCTCCTCTCTATACTTCAGATGATATAGTTAAGGAATCCTGACTAACTATACATCAGTCTCAGCAAAAACATAATGGAGAAGTTAGATCTATAAAGGAAAATTAAATATAATGTGAAGTCATTTAAAAATAATTTAAATCCAATTACCATGTTTTAGTATCATGCCACCTCCCCTCTCAGCTCAGAACTGTCTGTCTTTGGGAGTGTTGTTTGTCCTACGTAGCTGACTTACTTCTCCTTGTTGTAGAAGAGGCAACTCGATTCAAGCACCTCCGGAAATACATTTACAGCTATGAGGCCGAGAGTTCCAGTGGCATCCCTGGGACTGCTGATTCTAGAAGTGCCACCAAGATCAACTGCAAGGTAAGAAAGGCAGGGCTGGAGGAACCTGGAGCCCATGTCCTGCCCCACCCTGCTCCCACAGGCAGGCAGCCCCCAGCCTTTCCTCCACCCATCCCTCAGTGTGCAAGGCAGCCCCACTGGTGAGAAGCGGCCTGCCTTAGGAAACTTACTAGCCCACTTGATTTTCTCATTAGCTTCCAAGATGTAGTTGCAGGGCATGGTCTAGTCCTCCAGCAGAGTGTGACTTAGATTGGAACTTGAGAGGGGCCCAGCAGTGAGCTGAGCATCTCAGGAAAGCCCTGTGGGATGCAGTGTTTATGACTTAACTCAAACAGAATCTAAAAACAAATGGGAAAAAAAAGACAAAATGTAAACATGTAGTTTGTTCTTAATAAAACTTTCCTCCTTATTGAGACCGGTTGTACTCCTGGCCTCATAGCTGTAAATGTATACCTATGGGACAGATTTAAGGGCTACTGTTGAGGTTTGTGTGAGGAGGTGAAGTTGAGGCGTTACCTCTTTTTCTATAGGGGCTGTAGCTCTTGTCCTGCTGTCAAATAAAGTGGCTTTTGCTACCCACGGCACGTGCTGCTGGGGCAGACAGTGCAGATATAGAACATTTCCATCATGGCTGGCAGTTCTTTAAGGAACATTTAGGCATCTTTTTTTTTTTTTTAACTCCTGCTATATGCAGAGTTCTCAATAGGCTCTAGCTGATTCAAACAGGTTTTGGGGTGACTTCAAGAAACATTTGCTATAGCAACAATGATAACCATCTCCTCTTTCTTTTCCTTTTCCTTAACTCTCTCTCCTAGTCCACATCTCTTCTAAACACACCAAATTCTTTATATAGTGCAACTCTTGATGTTCTAAAGGGTCTCTTCTATAGATTTGGGGGGGCCAGCAGTGAGCTGAGTATCATTACTTGATACTTGACAATCGTCTCTCTGTACCTCAAATGATATATTCCAGGAATCCTAATTTAGGAAACTTGTTACTCCAGGAAGAGGAGAAAACCACAACTAGGGAAGGCCTCTGGTATTGCTGGTGGCATGGTGCCTGATGCCTGGAAGCATGTTCGGAACACATGTGATGCTGGGGACCAAACCATATTCCCCAACAGCACTTCCCTATGTTCTTGATTAAAGACTGAACGCTGGGCTGCGGGTATAGCTCTGGTCCTGATGGAGAACCTCAGTGTGCTACTCCTCCCATCCTCAGGTTGAGCTGGAGGTTCCCCAACTCTGCAGCTTCATCCTGAAGACCAGCCAGTGCACCCTGAAAGAGGTGTATGGCTTCAACCCCGAGGGCAAGGCCCTGCTGAAGAAGACCAAGAACTCTGAGGAGTTTGCAGCTGCCATGTCCAAGTAAGGCGTGGGTCTGTGCATCCGTGGTTGTGTTGGACACTGGTGCATGCCCATCCAGGTGTGAATGTGTGTTCCTGTTAGCCAGGCTCGAGAGTCTGAACATTTACATTTTGTTTTCACTGTGGATCAGGGAACTGCAGAGATTTCCTAAGTATCAAAAGGAAGGAAGTATTATTTATACTCTGCTAGCTAACTTCCCTTCATTATCATTTAAATGTGCTGCTAAAAGATCTCATGCTTTTAAACTCATTGAGATAATAAAGCTGAGGTAGTCTGATTAAACAAGTGTGCTTTTCCATTAAAGACTTACAGGAAGCTGGAGCCTGGGGTCTTCAGCACGGCTCCCAACAGTACTTACTGCTATGGCCAACTCCTGGGTTGCAGGGTCTGTGCAGTGCAGGGCAAGGGCAGCGCCGGCCTGAGCTGTTGACATGCCCTAGGCTGGCACCCGAAGCCGGTGCAGTTGTTCACAGCTGTCATCTCTTCTGGTGTGTCCGTGTTCATGTTGCACCAGTCATTAAGTATTTTCGACATCAGCCCCGCCTCTCCCCAGTTCAAGGTTGGGAAGCCCAAAGTGTGCACGGAGACACAGGACTACTTTTTTTGGCTGCATCAGGCGCCTCTATCCCTGCTTGTCTTTTCATGTTGAAGCCAGTCCTTTCCTGTGAAAGAGGCCTGAGGCCGTATACAAGGAGAATGTCTAACTAATGTCTGAGGGGCAGCTCAGATCCATGAGCAGTCAGGAAACACACTCATAAATTAATGTCACAAGAGGATATGAGCACCTTACGTCTGTGAGACTGCGGACCTTAGAACAGACATGGCCTGTGTTGCCAGCACGCTGGAGGGCAAGAGCATATCCCACATTCTGCTGCAGGAATAGAGAGCCACTAAGCTCAATCTGCTCTGGCTGAAAATACTTAGATTCCCTGGCAAAGCAGTCCCAGTGTCCAGGACGCTAGCCTATGAAGTAAAAGCAGCAGTGTGTAGACAGGTACATAAGGATATTTATTTCAGTATTGTTTGTGTAGCAATAGAAGTCCAAAAAGAGAGAGACTGTAAATGCCATCAAATGAAGCAATGTTGAATAAACTATATTTAACCACAGTAGGAAATGTGCATAGCTTTTAAAAAAGAGCTATACCAAATGACTTGGGATTTTCATAGAGTATAATCAAATGTGAAAAACAAGATGAAGAAACTATACATAATATAATGTCATTTTAATACAACAAACACTGACAAAATCTTTGAATGTGTGATTGCGCCCACACACCTCTACAGGAGTCTATGAAGGTGGGGATACTGAGGCAATCTCTACCGGCGTCCACATGGCAGTAGGGGGTAGAGGCTGGTGGTGGACAGCAGAGAGGGGATGGATGAGCCAAGCAAAACAGCAAGAGAAGTACAAGAATAACCAAGTCGACCTCCACGCATCTACTTTTTTGAAAATGTGTGCAGATGTATTTATTTAACATGATGTTAAAAGGATGGCTGTGAGAGGGAATCTGCTGGGCCTCCCACTTCCTCCCAGCAGGCCCAAGGTGGAGAAAGGACATCCCACAACTTGGTGTCTCTCTGGCACAGGTACGAGCTCAGGCTGGCCATTCCTGAAGGGAAGCAAGTTCTCCTCTACCCAGAGGAGAACGAGCCTAAGCACATCTTGAACATCAAGAGGGGCATCGTTTCTGCCCTCCTGGTTCCCCCGGAGACAGAAGAGGCCACGCAAGTGTTGTTTCTGGTGAGAATTTAGAAAGCTGATGCCAGTGACCCTCTGCCCTCCTCTTCCAGGGTCAGACACCAGTGCCACTGCGTATAAAGTGGGCCACTGGCTTGGCCCCATGGTGAGAAACACCAGCGCCCCATCAGCTCCGCACGCTGAGCGTGTTGGTTCTAATCTTTTTCTTTTTGTTAAACCATTTTTATTTTTTATTAGTATACAGTGATTATCTTCCCTGAGGGGGCTGGCACATGTACACAAGACATCTTAACGTTTTCCACCCCCACCCTTCTCCTCCCTCCCCTCCCTCCATCTCTAGGTCCCCTGCCCATTTGCAAAAGACCATATCCCTATTTCCTATTATCTGTCTTTTATTTGGCTCTTTGTTTAATTTTAATGCAGTTACTGGGGAACCCAGCCCATTCTACCTGCTTTTGTTTGATTTTTTTTCTCTCCTATTCATAAATTGTAACGCAGTAAGCTGGTTTGTATCTTACATACCAAAAAAGGCTAGAATAAGTTGCTGGCCTCTCTAAAGATTTTTGGTTCAGCTGTGGAGAGAACTCAATTGACCTCAATCCCACAGGCACTGTGCAGCCCTTACTGTGTTCAGAACTCTGCCCTGCACCATGCTTGGAGACAGAGCGGTGCTGTGGCTGGCCAGGCCCCTGCAATGCCACCTCTGCCCGCAGGAAACAATGCCCCTCCTGCATTCACATCCCTTGTTGTCGCTCTCAGGCTTCTTTCCCAGACCCTGGCCAGCATCTCGCGGTGTTTTCTCCCATCGGAAGTGCTTGACTTTATTTTTGGCCCCCACAGGATACCGTGTATGGAAACTGCTCCACAAATGTGATGGTGAAGACAAGGAAGGGGAGTGTGGCCACAGAGATGTCCACCGAAAGAAATCTGCAGCAATGTTCTGGCTTCCAGCCCATCAGCACAGGTGCCAGCCCCCTGGCCCTCGTCAAAGGCCTGGTGAGTCTCACACGCACTGGTGTGCGCACAGCTGCAGCCTTGTTATGAAAATTCTGCAGTGGTCTAGCGAGTAGGCTCCAAAAGGAGTCTGTCCAGCTTGTGTTTTACATAGACTATGGGCAAGGATTGGACCAGACGCAGGAGAGTACTGGACCACCAAGGCACGTGGCTAATTATTAATTATGTCAGGACTATGAGAGGGTTCCCAGCTGCCATCCCAGAGCTGTCTTTCCTGTTGCCCTGTCATAGCACTAAACCATCTGCCATCACTTGACTGTCCATCCCTGAGAAGAGAAAGCCATCCTGCTGTTCCTTCCTGTCAAAAGGCTAATTGTCCCAAGCATCTGGCCCCCAAGGAAGTCCCAAGACCTATGTTTTCTCCTTGCTGTCATCCCATGAAATGACATAGCTGGGAATGTTCCAAATTCATGTTCATTCATATCCAGGCATGACCTTGACCAAAGCCAGGCCCTTTGGCCTTCTACACAGGCCTTCCCCTCAGTAATAACCTTCTCTGCCATTACCTGATGTCAGATGACACCGTATTACCTGAGTTTGCTAGGCCCTTTGCAACACCTTCTGGAACATGATCACAGGTTGCCTCAGTTCTGTGTGGCCCTGTTATGAAAATTCTGCAATGGTCTAGCAAGTAAAGACTCCAAGAGGAGCCTGTTCAGCTTGTGTTTTGCATAGACTATGGGCAAGGATTGGACCAGACACCAAGGATAAAGCATTTTTCACATACTTTTTATGGCTAAGTCATGAGGCATGGAGAGTATGAACCTGAAGCAGACATAGTGTGGATGGTAGGAGGGTTTTTAGGCAAAGAAACCCTAAGAAGCAGTAGCATGGGAGGTGCTATGTGTGAGAGGCTGAGGGGGTAAGTGGGTGAGTGCAGGACACAAGTATATATATCCTGCATTAAAAAGAATCTACAGTTGAATATGCTGACTTGTTTTGTTCCCTTATCTAAATGTCAAGTGTCCAGTTCTCTTCCTTTCATTGAGTTTACCCGGCAGTGCAGGCTTCCCATTCCCTTCTGCCATGAAGGCAAATGCCTATGACAAAAAACTCAGGCTCGAGCCTCATCAGGTCTCATCAAAATACTTCTCTCCTGCCACTCACAGGTCCGCCCCTTGTCCACTCTGATCAGCAGCAGCCAGTCCTGCCAGTACAGCCTGGACTCCAAGAGGAAGCACGTGTCAGAAGCCATCTGCAAGGAGCAACACCTGTTCCTGCCTTTCTCCTACAGGTAGGATGCCTGCTGCTCCCCTACTCATCATTTCATGGTTGAGCTGGGCCAATCCTTCCTCAGTGCCTTGTCTCAGGCCAGGCTGTGCCTGGGAGGCAGTGTGGGTGGGGTACAGAGCAGATCACTTCCCTGTCCCCGTTTTCAAGCTAATGGTGATTGGACAGAAAAGTGTTATGCATGTGAAACAATTTGAGACCAACAGAAGACAGCTTAGACTCACTCGTTAAGGGCTATGGATCCAGAAAAGCAGGAGATCATCACAGGTGCCCTGGTCAGAGACAGTTTCTTGGAGGATTTTGACTGGTGATTTCCACATCCAAATCTACTTTGAAAGCTGACATTTAGCCAGTGTTTATTGGGTAATTGCTATATTTTTTGGCACTGTGCTGTGGAAGACACAGTATTTGTTCATCTCAACCCTCCAGGTATTCTGGACTGATGTAGGGTATAAAGCATATTTGTCTTCCTAATGGGGTTAGTAGCCATCCTTAGGAGATTGAGTACGGCTAGATTTAATCATTCTTTGAAAAGAAGCCATGATGTGGGCAGAGTAGAGATGGGGAACTTTCAGCATGAGCAGAATAGTATGTTCTGGGGGATCTGGCTATCATGACATGTGTGCTTCCTTTGTTCCCAGGAATAAGTATGGGATGATGACCCAGGTTACACAGACTTTGAAACTTGAAGACACACCTAAGATCAATAGCCGCTTCTTTGGGGAAGGTAAGACTTCATGTCCACGTAAGCTCTGGAAAATGTGCTTGGGAGGCACCAGTTATGGCCAAGCTCTTGGCCGGGCAGTCAAACGTCTGCTGACTGATGTGCAAAGTGGACTGTGGTCTTCTGTCCTGAAGCTACTGCCAGTGAGAAAACATATTTATTTGCCAGTGTCACAGGGAGAAGTTTCCAATGCTACTTAGCTTTTCACAGGTAAAAAATTGGAACCCAAAGTCTACTGTGGCACCTTTGGTAAAACTGGCAACCTCATACAACCTGTGACAAGCCTCAGAGCCCTCCCAGATGAGCTGTGCAGGTAGGAAACGCCCAGGGGCAGGCCAGGAATAATCCCAAGAACTGATCTTTAGAGGTAAAAGGGACTCTAGTGATCTTTATCCAGAATTATATTGCAAATTATATTCTGTCAAAACTGTTTGTCCTGGCTTCATTGCTCTCTTTATGGTGTCAGGCAGCAGAAGCCTAAGTTTTTAGACCTGTTCTGCAAGAGAAGAAATGATGCAAGGGGAGATTAGTGCTGTGATCAAGGCCCCAGAATCTCACAGGGTGGTTCATAGTGAGCCAGTATGATGCAAGTTGGGACTGCTCGCTGCCTCCCCTTCATGCTGGCCCTCATCCTTCTCCCTGGCATAGGTCAGAGCTGGTGACAGGGCTGCAGAGGGGTCACCTGCCCGGCAAGCTGCTAGTAGATTCAGTCAGAAGAACTGGTGGGCAAGGACCATGAGTCCAGCCTTGCTGTGGCCATGTTGGCAGCCGAGCCTCCTCACAGATTTTCCAGCAGAAGGGAATCTGATGCCAGGTTACAACTAGCCTCAATTCAATCAATACCAGCCTTGCCTCATAGGCCCAGAGAGTTCGTGGGTGACAACTTTCAAAGTACACTGCCACAGCTGGGCATGGTGGTGCACGCTTATAATCCCAGCCCTTGGCAGGCTGAGGCAGGAGGATCGTTGTGAGTTTGAGACCAGCCTGGGCTACAAAATGAGCTCAAGGCTGGCCTGAACTGCATAGTGAGACCCTGTCTCAAAAAGACAAAAAAAAAAGTACACCATTTATCTCTGCGTTTTGGATCCCTTCTCTTGGAGAATGATATCAACACTCAGGGATACTATGATGAGTCATTTTTTAAAAAGGCAAATGCCCAGTGCAGTTGGTTTCTTCCCTTTCTCCTACTGCTGATGCCTCCTGGTTTCCAGGTCCCATTCCACAAAGACATGGCTGAAAGAAGCAGAATTCTTTTGACACTTTGCTTCCTCCAGGCTTCCAGATGGTGGGGTTGGCCTTTGAGAGCACTAAATCTACGTCACTGCCGAAGCAGGCCGAGGCTGTTTTGAAGACCCTCCAGGAACTGAAAAAACTGTCCATCTCTGAGCAGAATGCCCAGAGAGCAAATCTCTTCAACAAGCTGGTCACTGACCTGAGAAGCCTCAGCACTGAGGCAATCACGTCCCTCCTGCCGCAGCTGATCGAGGTATCCAGGTAGGACTTTGCTGGTTGCAGCTGCCTCTCTCAGATCTCCCAAAGAACCTTTGAACTTTGGCCAGAGGGACTCAAGGAACATTTAAATATGAATCCAGTTAATCAATGAGTGAATTATTAGTTAACATCTGCTGGGTAAATAAATAGGAGCTGAGGTGCTTAATGTTCCACGGGCAGAATGTATAAACACACACACACACACACACACACACAAACACACACACACACACACACACACAAACACACACTGCATTCCAGGAAGGGATGTGTCCGAATGTTAAAATAGGAGGGAAGCAGTACCCACATCTGATGGATATGTTCCAATTCCTAGTTCTATTGTGAGTACCCTGGAAAGCTTGAGAGGCAAAGAGTTTTGAACCCTCTGGAAGCCTACAGGCTAGTGGAGAAAGACTTCAGGCAAACAAAAGAATTCCATTGCCCTGTACTTCAAGGCAGTGGACCTGAATACAATGAAGGTCACAGAGGGCCCAAGGCCAGGAAGGGACCATCCCAGTTTGGGCCAGACAGGTCTTGACTTGAGGATGGTGACAAGTTGAACTTCAGGTCCAGGTTCCTTCTTTAGCCTTCCCTGGATGGAAATTCTCCTAGGGAAAGCATCATGATTTTTAGTCTCTGAGTTGCATTTTGAAAAATAGTTAGTTTGGACCGTGAATGGGCGACAGGAGGATACTCGTGGAAACAGGCACCTCTGGGTCAAAGGTATTTCATGTGCCTCAAAGATGCTCTCTCTATCTCTCTGCACGTCTCTTCTCAGCCCCATCACTTTGCAAGCCTTGGTTCAGTGTGGACAGCCCCAGTGTTATACCCATGTCCTCCAGTGGCTGAAAAGTGAGAAAGCTCACCCGCTTCTGATAGACGTCGTGACCTACCTGGTGGCTCTGATTCCAGACCCCTCAGTGCACAGGCTGCGCGAGATCTTCAGCATAGCCAAGGAGCAGCAGAGCCGGGCCACCCTGTACGCGCTGAGCCACGTGGTCAACAAGTGAGTCTCTGTACTGTTGCTCCTCCTGGGACCAGAGGAAAAGGACACATCTCTGCTTTAACACAGCTGTCTGCCTCCACCCTGGTGGTTACTCTTTTGTTTCTCTGCTGGTCATTTTGAGAGAAAAAGTGGAAAATAAGAAACCCGTAAACCCGAATTTGGATTGTAAGAGAAGCCTAAGTGTGCTTGCTAAGGGCTAATACTCCTCTCCCATTCCATAGCTATTTTGAAACGACCCATACACTGAACCAGGACCTGCAGGACATCGCTAACTACCTCCAGGAGCAGATCCACAATCAGTGTGCTGGGGATGAGGATCACACTTACTTGATTCTGAGGGTACCTTTGGTCTTTTGCATAATATGCATCATTTCAGAAATGTTCCTCCTGGACACCTCTACTTTTCCTTTGTTGTAATGGATTCTGTTTCTTCCCTTCAATGCAGGTCATTGGAAATATGGGTAGAACCTTGGAGAACATAACACCAATGATCAAGTCTTTGGTCCTAAGATGTATCAGAAGCTCAAAGCCATCTGTGCTGATTCAGAAAGCTGCTATCCAGGCCCTGAGAAAGATGGAACTTGGAGATGAGGTAAATTATCCAGAGATTTGAATGTGTAACTTCCTGCTGATCAACAAGGCTTGGGGAAGCATGAGGGGAGTGAGATTCTAAAACTCATCATTTTACTGACTTTATTCTACTGTTTTCTAATTGCAAATTTCAACAAGTCCATTACTCGTCTGCCTAGCGCTATGTGGGCATAAGAGACATCATCAACCCTGCTGCTACTCACCATGCAGAATGAGATTTTTGCCACGATACTAATTGCCACTATCATTTGGGAAAACATGCTTGATTTTCCTCAGTGTCACAAAACTGGGAGAGTGAAACTAGTCCTACTTTAGTTGACAAAAATCCCAGAGCTTTGGAAACTGCCTTACTTATTAGCTCCAACCTCACATGAAATAATTTGTTAAAAGCTGTATCTTCACATAGTGGCACAACTTCATCATAATTTGTGTATTTTAGTGCAATCAAATTCAGCAGATATTCAGTGGAAGTTTTCTGGGAAAACGATGTTCAGCTGGTTGCTCAGGGAGATACTGATTTATTACCAGCAGTTGAGGAGTTCTTAGAGAGAAATTAGACTTGTGCAAAAGAAGGAGCTGGCATGCAGAGCATGTTCTGGGTGCTGGCTAAAGGACGGTGACAACAGTCTGCTCTTTTGGCTCTAGGCCCAGCAGCTCCTTCTTCAGACTTTTGTCCATAGTGCCTCTCCAGTGGAGAAGCGACTGGCTGCGTACCTCATGCTGATGAAGGGGCCTTCCCAGCCGGTTATTAACAAAATCATCCAACTTCTCCCACGGGAGGAGAATGAACAAGTGAAGAACTTTGTGGCTTCTCACATTGCCAACATCTTGAACTCGGAAGAATTGTATATTGGAGAGTAAGTAAGCGTAATTTCCCCCATCTGCCGCCGAGGGGCCTGGGATGGAATTCCAAGCTTCCATTCTGGTACAGGCACTGCCCAAGGGACTGTGTTTTCTTCTAAAGCAAAGACGTGTGTGTGAAGCAGACCCTGAACCAAAGTCTTGCGGTCTAATGAATCCCATGTATTTTAGTAGTGATTGGAAGTCCAAATTTATGTGGAACGTGAGAGACAAAGAATAAGTAACACTGTCCGTTGGCTCAAAAAGTATTCCTCTTTTCTTCTAGTCTGAAAAACTTAGTGAAAGAAGCTCTGAAGGATTCTCAACTTCCAACAATCATGGACTTCAGAAAATTTTCTCGGAACTATCACTTTTCCAAATCTATTTCTCTTCCTTCACTTGACCCAGTCTCCGCCAAAATTGAAGGGAATCTGATATTTGATCCAAATAATTATCTTCCTAAAGAAAGCATGCTGAAAACCACCCTGACTGTCTTTGGATTTGCTTCAGCTGATCTCTTCGAGGTACGTGTGAGACTGAAGAGTGGCAAGTTGCCTTGTCCACTTCACAGTGGACTGTAAATATTTGAGGAAGCACCCAGAATGGTGGTATGTGACTGCAGTTTCAGGACTCAGGAGGTTGAGGCAAAGGACTTAGAAGTTTGAAACAAGCCTGGGCAACCTAGGGAGACCCCCACCTAAAAAGAAAGTCGAGAGAGCCATGAGCCAACCTGGAGAAGAGTAAGAATGACCAGGCACTTCCTACCATAGCTTCAAGGTCCTCTTTCCTTCCTTCCCCTCTCTCCACTAGGGGTCATGTGAAGCATGGCTCCTTATAATAGAGAATTGTAGATAGCTCAGAGAAGCCCTTTGCCACAAATCTAAGGAAGCACATGAGCTACCCAGTGATATCTACTTCGAACCCAAATCCACTCTCAACTCTGAATCTTGGTCTCATTATTTATCCTTTCTGATCCCTACCTGACTGTTCTGAAAAACCGACAAAGGTGAATTTAAACAGACACTTCTGTGAAATGCTAGGCTCAGCTCTTCCCTGTAGCATTCACCAAGTTCTTGTTTAACTAACTGGACATAAAGATGGGAATGCCAGGCTGATGTACAGCCAAAATCCCAATGGCTTATTCTTACCTGGTTTTCTTTCTCAGATTGGCTTAGAAGGAAAAGGCTTTGAGCCAACACTGGAAGCTCTTTTTGGGAAGCAAGGATTTTTCCCAGATAGTGTCAGCAAGGCTTTATATTGGGTCAATGGTCAAGTTCCTGATCATGTCTCCAAGGTCTTGGAGGACCACTTTGGCTATACCAAAGATGAAAAACATGAGCAGGTATGTATTTGTTAAGTTCTTCTCAAGGAAATCTGTGGGTCCTGCTGCAAAAGTATTCTTTTCTAAGCCTAGAAGTCATCAAAGTACACCCTACCTGAAATGATAACTGTAGCTATATATTAAGCAGTCCCTTGAGCATGAGAGCCAGAATTCTCTGCAGTCAAAAGCCTCCCAGAAACTCCTTGTGCCCAGGACCCAGATTTGCTAGAGGCACTTTAGGGAAATGATTGAGTGTGAAGTCTAGGGAATGGTTTTGAATTCTGACCTCATTGTCTTCAATCTGTGTGCTCATGAACAAGCTTCTTGAAATGTGCATCTGTTCCTGGATCCCCGAGTACTGTTGTAATAACCCACACCCCACAAGGTTATTTAAAGAGTAGATGGAATAACGTGTAAAATAGTAGGCAGAGTGCCCAACACAGATACTGATTTTTCAGTAAGCAGATACTATCATGAGTTTGACTTGGTATTTTCATTGTTGATAACTTCTCTTTTTAGCTCTCACTGACATCTGTGTACTAACTAATGGCCCCAAATCCACTGTGAACCTAGCAATGGGACCTTCTTTAAGGAGTAGAGACAAGGTGGTATAATCTGGAGCTTTTTATTCCTTAAGTTTTTGGTATCTAAGTGTGGTCTGGTGATTGGCTCTCTGTGAAGCTTCTTAGGAATGAATTCTTGTGCCAGACCCATTCAGGACCTACCAAATCAGAACCTGCGTTTTGATAAGACTCCAAGGGACTTGTATTCACTCTCAATGTTGAGAAGCACCATAATAACTCGCTGTCAGGTGCTCACCCGTGGTTTCACCTCTCTTCTGATCTACTGATCTCCACTTGAAGCTGAGGGTCTTTGATCTGTTTTGGGTCTGTAGATCTCTTTTCTTTTTTAATGCATTGCATCAGTCTATAGGGTTCTTCATGTTTCTAAGGAAAACAGGTCTAGAATCAGGTTTTTTTCTCAAGTTTGTGGCTGATTTATTTAGCAGCTACATTTTCTCAAGAAGCCCCTAGTTAAAGGAGAGAGGGCTTAGTAGAGAAGGGAGACAAAGTATCTTTAATCTTGAGGAGCCCTAAGGATGCAGGCATCCTGGAGGACAGGGTTTCTCCTTAATATTCCTACATTTTTTTCAAGTTAAGGGCAGCTTTGAAAGCACTATTGCCCTTGATAAGACCTCAGGTTTCTTTCCTCTCTGTTTAGACAAATTATCTTTCAGTGAAAGGTGGAAGGAAGCCTGATTTCTGTGTCTGCACTGTTCCCCCACCTCAGGTGTTTGTGCTTGTGCCCATCATAGCTGCAGTAAACAGACCCCACCTCAGGAAGCTAAACATGTTAGAGCCAACATCTCACCAGACATTTTATTACTCGAATCCCAGGACATGGTAAATGGAATCATGCCCATTGTCGACAAGCTGATTAAAGATTTGAAATCAAGAGACATCCCAGAAGCCAGAGCCTATCTCCGCATCCTGGGAAAAGAGCTTGGCTTTTTCAAGCTTCAAGACCTCCAGCTCCTGGGAAGGCTACTGCTGAGTGGCGCTCGCACGCTGCAGGGAATCCCCCAGATGGTGAGTGAACAAGCCCCAGCAGTGGGCCCGGAGATTAGCTGGTGCTCTTCTGAGATGTCCCAGATCCTTTCAAGATCTTGGTCACACTAGTCAGAAAAGGGGCTTGTAGTCCTTCACAGACACAGGTTTGTCTCAAATGTCAATGAAAATGACTCCTGATTCACAAGAAATGAAGCGATGTATAATGTTAGCTTTACTTTTTAAGAACTTTAGTTTGACATAGGAAACAATGTTAAGTGTTTTCTTTCTCCACCTGTGATGAAGGCGCCTTTTAATATTGAAATAAAATGATGATTATGAAGGAGAGTATTTGACAAACTGTAATCTACTGCCAAATATTTGTTATAATTTTATTATTATAATTTACTAGCAAAGGAGAAATATACAGACACACTCCCTATGATTAGATAAATAATCTTGGCTTTGAGAAAACAAATCTCAAGTTATTTTATGGAAATGTTATAAAAAATAGAAGCCAATACATAGATTATGTACATCATTTCAGTAGTTCTTGGTTTCAAAGATTGATTTTACCATAAAATAATATACTTCAAGTAAACTCTCATTTAAATTCAGACTCAACAAAAACAGAATTCAGCTATGCCATACATGATACTTAAATTTCAAAAAGGTCTAAGGCCTAACAGTATTCCAAGTGCCTTCTGAATCATTAGTTGAAAATGACATTACCATATTCAATCCAGAGTAATTTCTTATATACCAATGCACTGAAACCAGCAATAGTTAATGAATTCATCAAACCATTTAGGGAACTGAAATATGCTAGTTCTCTCCTTCCTGGATAAGGAGAAGTCATTGTCTGATGTTTGGGAGGTTTCATTCAGCAAAACTCACTTAGACAAGGCTTAAATTGATCTCCCCTGTTGGATCTGCAGATTGGAGAGGCCATTAGGGAAGGCTCAAAGAATGACTTGTTTCTTCACTACATCTTCATGGACAATTCCTTTGAGCTCCCCACTGGAATGGGATTACAGTTGCAAGTGTCTTCATCTGGAGTCATCACCCCAGGGACCAAAGCCGGAGTGAAACTGGAAATGGCCAATGTAAGACACTGTTTGCATCAGCTGCAAACAAATTGATGATTGTTGTGCTTTTCCTCTAGGGTGAGTTTCTCGTGCACATTTTTGAAATGGGTTTCTAGTTCCAGACAAAGTATATCATCTTTATAGTCCATCATTAATTTTTATGAAAATGTTTAGCATTCCACCAGCATGGACCAGCTCTGTCTGCACCTCCAGTTGGGCATAGCAATAAAACAAGACCTCAGCTGATCTCTCAACAAATGCTCATGCCTGTCCTCTTTCTATCTGGTTATGCTTCAAAGTGATTGAGGTTCTTCTGAGTTCTGTGAGTCTTGCTCTGGAGAAAAGAGAATTTGAATTTTCTTCCTCCAAATAAATTGCAATAAGGTTTCCTGAGATGTGAGTTATCCAAAGATATTTACTGCAAGAGGGAGAAACATGGTTGATCTGACAGTCAAAGACTGAGGTATGTAACAAAACTGAAGAGGCTATTTTCTGACCCACAGATGCAAGCTGATCTGGTGATGAAGCCCTCTGTGTCCGTGGAGTTTGTGACAAATATGGGCATCATCGTGCCAGACTTTGCACGGAGTGGGGTCCAAATGAACACCAACTTCTTCCATGAGTCAGGCCTGGAGGCCCGCGTGGCCTTGAAAGCTGGGGCGCTGAAGTTCATCATTCCTGCTCCAAAGAGGTCTATCAAGCTATTCAGTGGCAGGTAATGCTTTGAGCCAGGAGTTCCTGGTCAGTTTGAAGGAGAGAGTTGAGAACACACCTGCAGAAATTGGCCAGGCTAGCGAGCCCACTGAGAGAATTCAGGTTCCAGTGAGGCTGACAGGAGGAAAGAGGGAAGGTGCTGGATACCTTATTTTTAACCCAGACTCAGACACACTAAATAATTACCTCTTCTTCTATTTTCCACACATTACTTAATTGACAGAACATTACTTAATTGGCCTGTATCATTCTGCATTGAGACTTAATTAAGACCTCTGGTTAGTCAATTATTACTACGTTGTGGGTTTGTTTTTTTTAGAATGTAGAAATGCTAGCTCTAGAGAAATCATCCTTGTGAAATAAATGTTTGTCTCCAAAAAAAATTGCCACACAGCATAGTGATTTCTGTGATAACTTGTTCAATGGATAAAGCATGAAACTCCCACTCCCATGACTAGGTCACCCAGACTCACATGGAGAGTTTCGCTTTCAGTGGTACTTTCCACCCCCAAGTTACCTAGCTTCTGTATTTTGGATACATCTATTTGCTTATTCCAAAATAGTATCTAATTGTCTCTCAGGTACCGCGCATATTGAGTGAGATGCACAAGGTCCCTGACTTTCCAGATCTTAAGTTTACTGGAAAGATGAAGGAACTGGTAGCATTGAGGGGAGGGAAGGGGGAGGAAGCATGAGAGTACCATGAAATTGTTTCATGTAGTCTGTGGATGTTGGGAAATGCTCTCCAAGACAAGAACTCTTGATCTGCTATAGAGGGCTGTTCGTTTATCCAAGCAGAGGAGAAAGGAATGCACATTCCAGGCAGAAAGAAAGGCACATGTGAAGGAAAAAGAGATAGCTTGAGGAAGTGGAAGAAGTTGAGTAAAGTGTGCAGGGAGTTTAAATGAGAGATGGCAAGGAGAGGGGGGCCCAGGTCAGACCATGCCCAGCCTGGAAAGCCACCCAAAGGAGTTTCTTCTGAAAGCAAAGCAGTTGAAAAGGACGTATGAGTAAAATAGGCTGCTGCATCAGAAGAAATGCTCAGGCTGAAAGGTGGAAAATGGTGGAAAGGAAGCAGAATGGGAGACTGGGTGGCATCAGTTACAGAAACCTGGGTGAGAAGTGACAGTGGCCTACGCTGGAGGAAAGCCAGGATGGAGAGGACTGAGCAGCCTCTGGAAACAGCAACAGGTAGAGTCACGAGTGCCTGGTGACGGGCTGCATCTGGGGATAAGGAGCAAAGGAAAACCAAAGGAAGTGTTGGCCTTCATTGGAAACGGGACCACAGAAGGAGAGCTGCTGGCTCAGAGGAAGATGGTAAATCTTCCTGGTCGAACTGCCTTTGATGTCCTACAAAACAACCAGGTAGAACTATTTAAGTGGCATGTGGAGCTCTGGATCAGAGCCCAGTATAGAGTTTTGAGCTCACATAAGGATTTGGGCACCATCAGCAAGTAGAGGTGAGATCAGTAGCAACTGGTATGCAGTGAGATGCGAGAGACCAGGACAGAGGTGTGGAGAATGAGCGTGGGAAGGGAGAGAGCGAGCAGATAGCAATGAGTGTGAACAAGGGGACAGAGAGGCAGAAAGGCAGTGAAGGCCGTACGTAAGGGCTCAGAGAAGCCAAAGAGCAGCCAGCGCATAGGACACCACATAGCCAAGCTAATGCTCAGGGCTCCAGCCCACGGGTAAGCCTTGGTTTGAAAGCACAACCAAAAATGAGGAAACAATGTAAGGAAAGAAAATGATGTTTGAAAGGACACATCCTTTGTACTTGCTAATTATTTTAAGTATACTAGTATCTCCCTCCCATTTCAGAGGTTACGAGAAGAGAATACCATAATCTTTTCAGAGGTTAGAGACTCAGACATCTTAATCTGACTCTAAGTGAACAACTCCACTGAATATTTCTGAGAGGACAAACAGGAAAAGGCCTAAATATATTCCCTGGACTTGGAGTAAGAGGGAAATTGGAGATATTGATAAAAATATTTCCAGAGCCATGAGAAGGATAGCAAGCAGGTGGCAGCTCAGTGAGGTGTGTGTTGGAGAGCCCTACAAAGGCAGACAGCCTCTTGTGTGTGACGGAGAAGGGAACGGGCTGGGAGGGGAAGTCGGTGATGTGTTCGTGCGTGTACGTGTATGGGCAAGACAGGGAGAAGAGACTCGAGCATGTAAAGCAACAGTAAGAGCTTTAAGAGTTGGTTAGCTTTTTGTGGTTGTGAGCAACAGCTAAGAAAGACAAGTAGAAGAGGAAAAATTTACTCTTCTCTGAGTAAACATCAGTCAGAGGTTTCAGTCCTCGCTTGACTGGTTTCGTTGCTGAAGCCTGAAGTGAAGCAGAACCTCAGGACAGAAGAGAATCGGGGGAAAAGCTGCAAATCTCTTAGCAGCCAGGAGGGAGACAGGGAAAGAGCCAAAGAGGGAAGGACCAGGGAAGGGATACAGCCCCCAGGTCATACCTCTGTGATCAACTGTGTTGCCCTGGGCCCCACCTCCTGTTTCCATTACCTCCCAGTAATGCCATCAAATGCTGATCTCATTAGTGGATTCACCCATTAATGAAGTTAGAATTGTCATGACCCAGCCACTTCCCAAAAAGCTCATCAGCATCCAAGCCTTTAACACAGGGTTCCACTTGGGGAGACCTACCGGATCCCAACCATAACAGAGAGCAGGGCTCCCATCACCTAAGTTCATCACCTAAGTTCATCACCTAAGTTCAGTCTCAGTGAACCGTTAGCTACCATTGCTGAGCCTCTCTTTGCCCTATAAAATGAGAAGACTGTGCCTACCACTGTAAGGGATTAAGAGTAAATATGTAAAGAACTCAGTGCAACGTATGAAACATAAACGTCACTGTGATTATTGGTCTTATTGGTGTTTTCCCTATTATTTATTTCTTAGTAAATCAAATAATGTAAGGTGAGTGTGTGCAGAGAGGTAGAAAGGAGGATAGGAGAGTGTGTCCATGGTGAGAATCAGTGATGTCCATTTCAGTGCATGACTTGCAAATAACTCAGATCTTTCATTCTTCAGCAACACACTGCATTTGGTCTCTACCACCAAAACGGAAGTGATCCCACCTCTCATTGAGAACAGGCAGCACTGGTCAACTTGCAGGCCTTTTATCAGTGGTCTGAACTACTGTACCACCGGTGCTTACTCCAATGCCAGCTCCACAGAGTCTGCCTCCTACTACCCACTGACAGGGGACACCAGGTGAGAAATGCTCAGTCCCCAGCCCACATGTACTCACCTCCCACATCCAGCCACCTGACAAGGCAAAATCAAAAGCATCATGTGGAACTGGCCTGGGCCACCTGGCTTCTGGGCTTATACCATTCTTCAGATATCTAAAGCATTGGTCCTCCGGCCAACTCTTCTGCTGTCCTCTTTTCCTTCAGGCACTTGAGACCACAGCAGATTTCAGCTTGATCCTAATTTATTGCCAATTTCTGAGCTTCCAGACCCATTGGTCTGAGCTTCTTGGGGTTCGCCAGTGTGGTGCTCAATGCCTGCACCATGCTTTGAGGTTCCTTGTCCTCCATCCCCCGACTTCTACTTCTTGTGCTCAGCTTTGCTAACAAAACCAGTCAACCCCTGCCACACTTGTCCAAGTGCCTGGGAATCCAGGGATCATCCCTCACCTTGGGCTCTTGGGGGAACTGATGGGGATCATCAAGATCATTATTAGTTAAGGATAAGAGATAACATTAAAATAAGGACCACATTTGTATTGCACTTGAGGCTGAACTGCTTGAGGGATGTTATTACCATTATCAAAAGCTCTAATATGATGTGGGTCTGTCGTAACATTTGTAGGTATGAGCTGGAACTGAAGCCTACAGGAGAGGTAGAGCAGTATTCTGCCAGTGCAACCTATGAACTCCAGAGAGAGGACAAAGCGTTAGTGGACAGGCTGAAGTTTGTCATCCAGGCAGAAGGTAGGTATCCAACACAAGGCTGTTCCAGTTCTGCCCTCAGTCTCAGGTTCAGGGCTTCCAAGGAAAACATATTTCGTGTAACATATATAACAAACAGATGTTGACTGAGTGCCCAGTGAGTACCAGGCCTCAGAGCTGGGGCTAGAACAGAGAGCAATGGAGAAGGATTCTCTACATTCACGGGAATTCCAGTAAACAACCAAGGAAATATTCAAGACGTCGGAGCAGTGCTGGGGATACTTAGAGGGACCTAGGGAATTCTGGGAAAGAAGCAGGGCAGGAAGGCAGTGAAACTGGGAATGATAAAGAAACATTTTCCTGGTAAAGTAAGCATAAATCAGAGATGGGGTGGGGACAAGGGAATAAGTAATGTGAAAAGAGCGCTGCATGCTAAGGCCCTGCGGGTACTAAGGCCCTGAGGCTTCGGGACTGCCATGTGGAGGAGGGAGGAAGCCATATGGCTGAAGCAGAGAGACCAGGGATAGAAAATGAGACCAAAGAAAGTAGAGGGTGGCAGGCGAAAGATGGTCTTACAAGCCAGGGTAAGAACTTGATTTTTTGTTTGTTTGTTTGTTTGTTTGTTTTCTTTTATGACTTTAATCTTTTAAAAAATTTTATTTCATGAAAAAATAAAACAAATTTTCACAATCAAATAATAAGAGAATATCAGTAGTCATTACACTGTGTAGCATTATCTTCATAGTAGTTACTCAGAGTATAAGACATAAACCAAAAAATTCTTAGAAAAGAGAAACAAAGAGATAATAACACAAACCTTACTTTTCAATGAACTAAGATAAATTAGAAGTATAAATGAAAGCAATTAACATATCTATTGAAATGTTTTTTAAAAACAGAATCTTATTTTCTATTTGTCTCTCTTCTATTTCATTCTTTATTTGCATTTCTCACATAAGATAAGAAAAACCATGTAATACCTGAGCTTGTGTGTCTGACTTATTTCACTTAACATTATGTTCTGAAGTTGCATCCATTTGCCTACCAGTGCCTCAAGTTTATCTTTCTTTATGGTAATGTCAGACTCCATTATGTATATGACATTTCCTTATCCATTCATCTGTTGACGAACGTATACACTGTTTCCAAGACCTAGCTATAATAAATTGTGCTGCTACATCTATCCTTATAATACAATGGGTATGCATCTATCCCTATAATACAATGATTTTAACTCTTTTGGGGAGATACTTAGGAGTGGGATAGCTGAACCAAATGGAATCTCTCTTTTTAGTGTTTTGAGGAATCTCTACACTGATTTCCATCATAGCTGTACTAGTTTGTATTTCTAGCAAAAATATTGTAGAGTTCCTTCTTCTCCACATCCTTGCCAGCATTTGTTACTACTAGACTTTTTTTGAGGTAAGATCATATTTCTGTGTAGTTTTGATTTGCATTTCTCCGGTGGCCAGGAATGATAAGTATTTTTTCATGCATTTATTCACCATTTCTACTTCTTCATCTGAATGTGTCTATTCATTTCATTTGCCCATCTTTTGATCGGGTCTTTTATTTGGGAGGGGTCTATTTCTTCTAGTTCTTTATATATTCTTGATGTTAGCCCTCTCTCTAAGAACAGTTGGCAAAAATTTTTTCCCACTCTATAGATTGTCTCTTCATTCTGGTGGTTGTTTCCTTTACTATGCAGAAGCTTTTTCATTTGATATGATCTCACTTGTTCATTCCTGGTACTATTTCTTGTCCCACTGAGATTTTCTGTTCAGAAAGTCCTTGCCTATGCCTATGTCTTCAAGAGTTATTCCTATCTTGTCTTTCAACAGATTGTTTCTATTTTAACATTTAGGTTTTTGATCAATTTTGATTCAGGTTAGTACATGGTGAGATGTAGGTGCAAACTCAATATTCCACATGTAGGTAGCCAGTTTTCCAACACTATTTGTCAAAGCAGCTTTCCTCCAGTGTGTTTTTTCCTCCTTTGTCAAAGATCAAATAGTTGTATGTGCCTGGTGTCATTTTTACTTCTTCTGTTCTGTTCTATTGATCCACATGCCTATTTTTGTGCCAGTACCATGCTGTTTTATTCACTATAGCTTTACAATATAACTTCAAATCTGGAATTGTGATGCCACCTCCTTTACTTTTATTCCCAGGATTGTTTTTGCTATTCTATGTCTCTTCTGATTCCATATAAATTTGAGGAGTAATTTCTGTAGCTCTGTGGGAAATACCACTGGAATTTTTGTTGGGATTGCATTAAGTCTGTTTATCAATTTTGAGAGTATAGCCATTTTGATTATGTTGGTTCTGCCTAACCAGAAACAGGGGACATTTTTCCATTTTCTGATGTCTTTTTTCTTTTTTCAGTATGATGTAATTTTCATTGTAGAGGTCTTGCCATTCCTTAGTTAGATTAATACCTAAGTATTTAATTTTTATGCAATTGAATGGTATTGGATTTTTATTTCTTTTTCAGTGAGTTTGTTATCAGTGTACAAGAATATTATTGATGTATATGTGTTTATTTTGTGTCATTATACTGCTGAATTTGATTATCAATTCTAATAGTCTTTGAGAGAAGTTTTTTGGGCTTTGTAATAAAGGATCATGTCTTCTGCAAATATTTTTACTTCATCCTTTCTTATATATGTCCCTTTTGTTTCTTTCTTTTGCTTGATTGTTTGGGCTAATATTCTGAGGACTATGTTGAATAGAAGTAGTAAGTATGAACATCCTTGTCTTGTTCCTGATTTTAGAGGGAAAGCTTTCAGGCATTCCTCATTTAGTATGATATTGGCAGTAGGTTGATCAAAAATGGCTTTTAATGTTGAGGCAGGTCCTTCTATATGTATTTTCCTCAAGGCTTTTTATCATGAGTGGATGTTGGATTTTGTCAAAGACTCTTTCTGCATCTATTGAGCTGATCATGTGACTTTGGTCCTTGCTTCTATGTGGTAAATTACATTTATTGATTTGTGTGCGTTGAAGCATCCCTGGGAGGAGGCCTAGTTGGTCACGATGTATGATCTTTATGATGATTTGTTGCACTCTGTTTGTCAGTATCTTATTAAGGGTTTTTGTGTCTCTGTTCATTAGAAAAGTTGGTCTATAGTTCTTTTGGTTGGGTCCCTGTCTACTTTTGGAATCAGAATAATGTTAGCTTCCAAGAATGATTTCAGAAGTACTTCTTCCCTTTCGATTTCATTAAAAAGTTTGAGGAGTATTGGTGTTAGACCATTCCTAAAGTTCTTGTAGAACTTTGGCTGTGAATTCATCAGGTTCTGGGCTTTTCTTGGTAGTTTTTTTATTATTATTATTGCTTCAGTCTCATTGTATGTCATTGGATTGCTCAAGATTTTTAAATCTTTTTGGTTCAGTTTTGGCAATTCATATATGCCTAGGATCTCTCCACTTCTTCTGAGTTCTCTAATTATTTGGCATATAGGTTTGTGAAGTAGTTTCTAATAAGTTTCTGGATTCAGTAGTGTCCACTGTGATTCCATCTTTTTCATTTCTAATTGCATTAATTTGTGTCTTTTCTTTCCCTTTCAGGTAAGATTGGCAAATGCTTTTTCTACTTTATTTTTTCTTTCAAAGAACCATCTCTTTAATTCATCAATTCTTTATATTATTTTTAGTCTCCTTTTCATTAATTTCTGCTTTGATCTTTATAATTTCCAACCTTGTACAAGTTATGGGTTCCTGCTCTTCTTGTTTTTCTAAGACCTTGAGGTGCATCAGTAGGTTATTTATTTGGGCTTGTTCTAGTTTTCTGATGTGGGCATTCACCACTCTCCTCCTGGGTGCTGATCTCTTCTTCAGTAAGGTCGGTCTGTTAGTTGTTACCTCTGTTGCACTGTGTTTTGGTGATTGCAGGCACTGGGCATGGCTTTCAATTCTGGAGCCCTCCAAGCTCAGAGGCAGGTCCACAGGGGCCAGGGCATTGGTTGGGGGAGGGTGAAAGTTTCCTAAGTCCTCCAGGCTGGGGCACAAGTCTTCAGCAGTGAGCCCTAGCACCCCGTCACTTTGACCATTCCTGTGAATGAAATGAGAAGCCATTGGAAAACTTTCATGAGTTAATTTATGTTTATGTTGAAAACAGATCATAGGGAAACAAGGACAGGGAAAACCAGTAAGTAGTTTATGGCAGTAATCCAGGCAAGGTACATTGGTTAGAGTGGTGGCAGAGGATACATGCAAAGTGATCTGCTGCTGGCCATGTTAAAGATTAGCCCTGCACTGCTTGAACATGCTGAGATTTCCCTATCTCAGAACCTTTGCACGTCTGACCCCTCTACCTGGAATGCTCCCCCTAGCACTCAACATGGCTCAGCTCCTCTCTTCTGGAGGTCTCTGTCCACATATCCCTTTAGCAGAGAGAGCTTCTCTGACCACTACATATGAAATAGTACTCCTCTCCATTTCCCTCTTTTCTCCTCATATCTAGTTTAATTTTTCTTCACATCTGTTGACATCTGGAATGGATATTTGTCTTGCTTATTGTCTGTTTACCGCTGCCCGAGAATGTAAGTTCCACAAGGGCAGACTCCACTGTGCTGAGAGCAGTGCCCAATGTGTGATAGGCCATCAGTAATACTTGTAAATCAAATGATTATATGAATAACCACAGCATTAAAAAGGAAAGTAAATCCTGAACTGTGCCTTCACTTAAGCACATTTAGTACTTATGGTTTGCCTGCCTTTTCTTCTTCTCCCTTTTCATAAACATAACTTCTAAGCACACCTTTCTTGACCTTCTTATACACTCTCTTAGGTGTGAAGCAGACTGAAGCTGCTTTAATGTTCAAGTATAATCGACGGAGCAGGACTTTATCCAGTGAAATGCAAATTCCAGATTTTGACGTTAATCTTGGGACGATCCTGAGAGTCAGTGATGAATCTTCTAAGGACAAAAAGTCTTACAAACTCAACCTAGACATTCAAAACAAGAAAATTACTGAGGTTGCATTCACGGGCCACATAAGGTAAGGAAGGCTCAGGGAGACCTGACCTTAGCTGCAGGCCCTGCTGGGTCTCCCCCTTTTCCTCCCGCTTTAAATCTCACAAAGCCAGGTGCATCCTTGTTCTGTGAGTCAAGTAGCACTGAGAGCCATCAGTGCTTTGACATACTCTGTACATATTCAGTTGGATCTTCCTATCATTTATTAAGTGCTTAACTATCCACTATCAACTATTAAGTTAAGTGCATTTAAAAATATCAGACTGCAATGAACTGCAAGGTAGGCATGAATTTTTCTGTTTAATAGACAAGGAAACGGTAGCAAAAAGTGGTTTAATCATTTGATAAAGGCTGTAGAGCTAGTAAACAGCACAGCAGGATTAAAACAGCTATCAAAATGTGTATGTATCTCCCTATACCTCCCTAAGTGCTGAACTTAGGCTCAGTATTGGCTTTAGAAGTTAATGGGTTGGGTCTATCTATGGCCATGTCTGTTCCTATATCTTGTTTTTACCACCAAATATGGAATTTCTAATTGTTGAGTCTATGAGTTCCCTTGGTATGGATAAAATCATTGATCTCGACTGCTTTCCTTCTTAATAGTCATGACACAAAAGGAGAAGGCAAAATCAAAGGCGTTATTTCCATACCCCGTTTGCAAGCAGAAGCCAGAAGTGAGATCCTAACCCACTGGCTCTCCACCAAACTGCTGCTTCAAATGGACTCCTCCGCTACAGCTTATGGCTCAACCATTTCCAAGAGGGTGGCATGGCGCTACGGTATATGCCTCCTTCCCCATGTGAACACTACCAAGGGAGCTGTCAGGGTAGGGCCGTAATTACCAGCTGACCTAGCACTACTGACTGCTATTTCATGTGTGCATTTTCAGATGATGAGAAGATCGAATTTGAATGGAACACAGGGACCAATGTGGATACTAAAAAAGTGGCCTCCAATTTCCCTGTGGACCTCTCTGAGTATCTTACAAGCTTACATATGCATGCCAATAGTCTCCTAGATCACAGAATTCCTCAAATAGACATGACTTTCTCAGAAATGGGTTCCAAATTAATGGCTGTAAGTATGAGTCAACCAGTAAAATAAATATATGGTTAACATAAGTGCTAATTACATCCTCAACTCTCAGGTGCAGGAGAATGTCCAAAGATATATACAGCATGCTTCCTAGCCCCAAGGAATTCCTAGAAAGAAAGAAAACATTATGTATGCCTAGTTACCTGGTTAGTTACCCAATGAATACTACTAAACAAAAACATTTGCTATGCCTAACAAACTAAAGGCATCAAAGAAAGCTTTAGGACACTCGCTAGGGGTCTCACAATGTTATTTTTATAAAATATGGGATTAGATCCATGATTGGAAATTTTCTGTAATTTATTTTTGCCTTGCAGTGCATTATCCTGCTTGACATTGACCTATTAGATCAAGAATATCACCCGATGTTAATTGTACTTTGAGGCTTATCCAGACCTACTCCTTGCTCTAAAAATCTTCTGTCATTTTGTAGACAACAAACACATGGCTCCAAGAAGCATCCAATAGTCTTCCTTATGCCCAGATTTTGCAAGATCATCTCAGTGGCCTAAAAGAGCTGAACCTCCAAAAAATGGGATTACCATATTTCCACATCCCTGACAACCTCTTCTTAAAAAGGTAAGAAAAGAAACAAGAGAATGTTCTCAAACTATGCAAATTAAATGGAACATGTATGGAACATGATTTTGACTTTTGTTTTGAATTTAAATTTTTGAGAAATAATTTATGTATCTAAGGAGACAAATAACTGTGACATGAACAGTTTGACACTTTTTCATTATTAAACATGAGGTCCAAATGTAAGAACCAGCCCAGTCGAGAAGAACCTAAGAAAATAATTGGAAGATTATTGGGTACATTCACCCTAAAATGTTTTATTCACTATAATCTGAATTTGAAAGCCATTTAGCTTTCTTCCATTACAAATAAATGTCTCCTTTCTTCTGGATCAGGATATGCTCATACTTCTTTCATTATAAAGAGTCCTAAAAGAGTAGGTAGAAGAATTATTGATGATGGCTTACTGCTGAGCTGTGGAGGGTCAGAATAGCACTGAGCATTGACAGAAGGCAGCCTTCCAAGAGACATTCAGCTTAACTATACAGTTCAATCCTTCTAGAAGAGTCAGATTCCAAAGTACTTCATTCATTTTTTTAAATTTACAAAATATATGTAATGCTTTGATTCCTTTATTTCATGAAAATTGTCAGCATGAGTTGAAAGAATGAGTCTTGTCTAAATGTACTGGCTTTTGAAATGTCTGTAAGATTAAAAAAATAAGCAGTCTCAGTTCCATAGGCCTTTCTATAGTTTATGACTCAACACCACAGTTTAACAGGTGATGACACTGTGAAAGGCCTGAAGTCTGCCAAGACACCCAGATGAACAGGCACTACTGAAGAGAAGAGAAAAGTTGGCAGCTTCAGAGGACAAGGAACTATTTTCATTGTTGGTGTTTTGACACCCCAGAACTGGACAGGGCTTTAGTGGTTGGTCATTGATCATCCTCTTGCTAAATGTGAGAATCCTGGATAGGTAACATTGAGCTCCTTTCACACTAAGGCAACAGTTTACTCCCTTATAACAGTGAACATTGCAGTCCTACTTTATTTTTATGTTATAATACTAATCCATTGCATGTGCATAATATTGAAAATGTTGCAAAGTGCTTTTAGGTATTCTTTATCACTTGATATCCAAAGACATTTCCACAAGGTTGTCAGAAAGGGAACTATTGTCCCTACTCTGCACATAACATCAGAGAGATTTATAGAATCTAATTCATTAGAATAATATTGCCAATTAGCAGAAGCTAAGACTATCACCTAAATTTTTACTTGTGTTATTTCTACATGTTGAGCTGTCTCAATTCAGTTTAGAAACTTGGTATGACACGTTCCCTCAGTACAAAATACTAGACTAAATATGGCAAGAAGATAGAAACGGTAATGTAGAGTCCTTCCTCCCAGGAAGATAGATACCAACAAAGGAATGAACAGCTAATTATATAAGCAGAATTGGGACGTAGTCTTTGAAATAGGTATAAGACACTACATCACTAAAAGAATGAGAGAAAATATCCGTACTTAGGTGAGCTGGTGATGGGGAAAAGTTTTGAAAGAGTTTATTTGAAAGACAGTGGAAAATGCAAAAGGATACTGGCACCAGGAGTAGCACAATAAAAAGCACAGAATAGATTTGGGAATAGAGCAAATGCAATATTGCTTGGAAGACCAGAAGGCCAAGAATTTTGGTGGTGGATTTGATGGCTGACTGTAAGAACATAGTCTTTGTTGTTCGTTTCAGTGATGGCCGACTCAAATATGTCTTGAACAAGAACAGCATTGAAGTTGAAATTCCTTTGCCTTTCGGTGGCAAGTCTTCCAAAGATTTAAAGATGTTAGAGACCATTAGGACACCAGCCCTCAGCTTCAAATCTGTGGGATTCCACCTACCATCTCAGGAGTTCCAAGTCCCCACTTTTACCATTCCCAAATTGTATCAACTGCGAGTGCCTCTCTTGGGTGTGCTAGACCTCTCCACAAATGTGTACAGCAACTTGTACAATTGGTCTGCCTCCTACACTGGTGGCAACACCAGCAGAGATCACTTCAGCCTCCAAGCTCGGTACCACATAAAGGCTGACTCTGCAGTCAACCTGCTTTCTTATAGCGTACAAGGTAAGCTATGCTCAGGTAAAGGGTGCACTGGGCTGATTCATTGCAAGCTCTGATGGCAGAGATGTCTCTGAGAAGGAAATCACTTAAACTTTATGAGATACTTTCCTTGTTACTTGGAAATCTATTAATTCATCCAACTAATAGAAATATTTTACTGAACACAGAATGCATATTAGACACTCTGCTAGTCAATAACAAAGAAAGTGGTCATATAAACTAGAAATTGTAACTCGGTGTGAGAAGGCAGTGATAGAGTGTGTAAGCCACAGTGGAAATACTACAAGAGACCAACAAGGTCTGTGGAGCTTCAGGAAGGCTTCCCAGAGGAATGCCTTTTGATAGCAAAGTTATATTTGCATTATAGATTAGCAGAGTATTGTACAACTGACTCAGATAAATGAGACTTTATGACTGACTTTTAACATAGAAATTGTTCTGAAAATGTATTAACTTGGCCAATATCTTTCATTTTTATATTAGGATCTGGAGAAACAACATATGACCACAGGAACACATTAACATTGTCATGTGATGGATCCCTACGGCACAAATTTCTGGATTCAAATATTAAATTCAGTCATGTAGAAAAAATTGGAAACAACCCAGCCTCAAAAGGTGTACTAACATTTGATGCATCTAGTACCTGGGGACCACAGATGTCTGCTTCAGTCCACTTGGATTCAAAAAAGAAACAACATTTGTATGTCAAAGATGTCAAGATTGATGGGCAGCTCAGAGCCTCTCCGTTCTATGCTAAAGGCACTTATGGCCTGACATGTCAGAGGGATCCTACCACGGGCCAGCTAAGTGGGGAGTCCAACCTGAGATTTAACTCCTCCTACCTCCAGGGCACCAACCAGATAACAGGAAACTATGAGGATGGCACCCTTTCCCTCACCTCCACCTCTGATCTCCAAGGTGGCATCCTTAAAAACACTGCTTCCCTGAAGTATGAAAACTATGAACTGACTCTGAAATCTGACACCAATGGGAAGTATGAGAATTTTGCCACTTCTAACAAGGTGGATCTGACCTTCTCTAAGCAAAACACATTGCTACGCTCTGAGTACCAGGCTGATTACAAATCATTAAGGTTCTTCTCCCTGCTCACAGGATCGCTGAATTCCCATGGTGTTGAATTAAATGCTGACATCCTGGGCACTGACAAAATTAACACCGGTGCTCACAAGGCAACACTAAGGATTGCCCGGGATGGAATCTCTACCAGTGCAACAACCAACTTGAAATACAGCCCCCTGTTTTTGGAGAATGAACTAAATGCAGAGCTTGGCCTCTCTGGGACATCTATGAAATTAACAGCGAATGGCCGCTTCAGAGAACACAGCGCAAAATTCACCCTCGACGGAAAAGCCGCCCTCACAGAGGTGTCACTGGGAAGTGCTTATCAGGCCAATATTATGGGCATGGACAGCAAGAACATTTTCAACTTCAAAGTCAGTGGAGAAGGACTGAAGCTCTCAAATGACCTGATGGGCTCCTACGGTGAAATGACACTGGACCATGCCAACAGTCTGAGCATTGCAGGTTTATCCCTAGAGTTCTCTTCAAAACTTGACAACATCTACAGCACTGACAAGTTTTATAAGCAAAATTTTAACTTTCAGCTTCAGCCTTTTTCTCTTGTAACTAGTTTAAACAATGACCTGAAATACAGTGCTCTGGATCTGACCAGCAGTGGGAAGTTACGGCTAGAACCACTGAAGCTGAATGTAGGCGGTAACCTGAAAGGAGCCTACCAAAATAATGAAATAAAACACATCTACACCATTTCTTATGCTGACTTATCAGCAAGCTACAAAGCAGATACTCTAGCTAGGATTCAGGGTACAGAGTTTAGCCATCGGCTCAACACGGGCATCACCGGGCTGGCTGCATCCATTGACGTCAGCACCAACTATCACTCAGACTCCCTGCGTTTCAGCAATGCCTTCCACTCTGCAATGGCCCCATTTACCGTGGCCATCGATGCACACATGAATGGCAATGGGAAACTGACTCTCTGGGGAGAACACACCGGGCAGCTGTATAGCAAATTCCTGTTGAAAGCAGAACCTTTGGCTCTCACTTTCTCTCATGACTACAAAGGATCCACAAGTCACAATCTCTTGTCCAGGAAAAGCATCAGTATGGCCCTGGATCACAAACTCAATGTCCTGCTTGTTCCGAGCGAGCAAAGTAGCACCTGGAAACTCAAGACCCAACTGAACAACAATGAGTACAGCCAGGACTTTGATGCTTACAACACTAAAGATAAAATAGGTGTAGAGCTCAGTGGGCGAGGCCTGGCTGACCTCACTGTGCTGGACTCCCCAATTACAGTGCCGTTTTTGCTCAGAGAGCCGATCAATGTCCTTGATGCTTTACAGATGAAAGAGGCTGTCGAGCAGCCCAAAGAATTCACAGTTGTTGCTTTTGTAAAATATGATAAGAACCAAGATGTCCACAGTGTCAACCTCCCTTTCTTTAAAACACTGCCAGAATATTGGGAGAGAAATCGAATAATAATTATAACTGCCCTGGAAACCATACAGAGAGAACTGAAACGCATCAATATTGATCAGTTTGTGAGGAAATACAGAGGAGGACTGGGCAAACTCCCACAGCAAGTTAATGATTATCTAAATGCATTGAACTGGGAGAGCCAGGTTGCCAGTGCCAAGGAAAAACTGACTGCTTTTGCAGAAAATTATAGAATCACAGAAAATGATCTACAAACTGCATTGAATAATGCCAAAATCAACTTTAATGAAAAACTCTCTCAACTTCAGACATATGTGATACAATTTGATCAGTATATTCAAGATAATTATGATCTACATGCTTTAAGAATAGCTATTACTAAGATTATTGATCAAATTATTGAAAATTTAAAAATTCTTGATGAACATTATCATATCCGTGTAAATTTAGTAAGAACAATCCACAATCTATATTTGTTTATTGAAAACGTTAATTTTAACAAAATGGCAAGTAGTACAGCATCTTGGATTGAAAATGTAGATACTCAGTACCAAATAAAAGTCCAAATACAGGAAAAATTACAGCAGATCAGAACACAGATTCAGAATATAGACATGGAGGAGCTTGCTGCAAAGTTAAAACAACAGGTTGAGGCTATTGATGTCAGAGTACTTGTAAATCAAGTGAGAACTACAGTTCCATTTCAAAAGATACAGAACATTATTGAGTATGTCAAATACTTTGTGATAAATCTTATTAAAGATTTTGAAGTAACTGAGAAAATCAATGCCTTTAGAGCTATAGTCCATGACTTAATTAAGAAATATGAAGTAGACCAACAGATGCAAGTTTTAATAGATAAATCAATACAGTTAGCCCACCAATATAAGCTGAAGGACACAGTGCAGAAACTAAGCAATGTCCTACAACGAGTTGATATAAAAGATTACTATGAGAAATTGCTTGTGTTTATTGATGATATTATCAGGCAGCTTAAAGCATTTTCTTTTGAAAAAATCATTGAAGAGATAAACCTGTTGCTTGACATGTTGGTAAAGAAATTAAGATCATTTGACTACCACCAGTTTGTAGATGAAACCAACAATACAATCCGTGAAGTTATTCAGATAATCAATGGTGCATTTCAGGGGCTGGACCTGCCCCAGAAAGCTGAAGCACTCAAACTGTTTGTAGAGGATGTCAAGGTCATGCTTTCTGCCTTTCTGGAAAAGCTAAAGGACACCAAAATAACCTTATTTGTTGATTGGCTAAAGGATGCACTAAATTCTGCATATTTCATTCCCATAAAAGCAAAATTCCAAGAAACTCTGGAAGATATAAGAGACCGAATTTACCAAATGGACATTCAACAAGAACTTGAGCGATACCTGTCTCTAGTAGGTCAAGTTTACAGCACAGTTGTCACCTACATCTCTGACTGGTGGATTCTTGCTGCTAAGAACCTCACTGACTTTGCAGAGCAATATTCTATCCAAGACTGGGCTGAAAATGTGAAAGCTTTGGTAGAACAAGGGCTCACTGTCCCTAAAATTCAGACCATTCTTGGGACCATGCCTGCCTTTGAAGTCAGTCTTCGTGCTCTTCAGCAAGCTTCCTTTCAGACTCCTGACTTCATAGTTCCGCTGACAGATTTGAGGATTCCATCAGTTCAGATAAACTTCAAAGAACTGAAAGATATAAAAATTCCATCCAGATTTTCCACGCCTGAATTCACCATTCTCAACACATTCCACATTCCTTCCTTTACAATTGATTTTTTAGAAATAAAAGTCAAGATTATCAGGACCATTGATCAGATGCTGAACAGTGAGTTCCAGTGGCCAGTTCCAGAAGTATACCTGAGGGACCTGAAGGTGGAGGACATCCTTCCTGCCAGAGTCATTCTGCCAAATTTCCATTTACCAGAAATCGTAATTCCACAATTTGTAATCCCAAATATCAACCTTACAGAGTTTCAAGTTCCTGACCTTCATGTACCAGAATTCCAGCTTCCTCCCATTTCACACACTGCTGAAATACCTGCTTTTGGCAAGCTGAGTAGCCTTTTGAAAATCCAGTCTCCCATTTTCTCCATAGATGCAAAAGCTGACATACGCAATGTAACTACTTCAGAGCACCGAGCAGGCATCGAAGCTTCCATAGATGCCAAAGGAGAGTCCAAATTCACAGTTTTCAATTTTGATTTTCAAGCAAATGCACAACTCGTGCGGCCTAAGATTAATCCACTGTTTCTGAAGGAATCCATGAATTTCTCCAGTAAGTACCTGCGAATGGAGCATGAAAGTGAAATACTATGTTCTATAAATGCCATTGATGGAAAATCAGACACTGTGGTAAGTTTACGTACAGAAAAAAATATACTGGAGCTTAATAATGGCATGACGCTCAAGATAAATCGGCAGGTTACCCTGAACAGCCACACAAAGTACTCCCACAAATTGAACATCCCCAAGCTGGACTTCTCCAGCAAAGCTGACCTAAGTAATGATGTCAAGATGCTCTTGGGAGCTGGACACGCAGCACTCTCCTCTTCTGGAGCAGGGTCATGGAAATGGGCCTGTCCCAACTTCTCAGATGAAGGAACACATGAATCACAAATCAGCTTTACTGTAGAAGGACCCCTTGTCTCCCTTGGATTAGCCAATAAGATCAACAGCAAACACTTAAGAGTAACCCAGATCTTGGCTTATGAATCTGGCTTCCTCAACTTTTCTAAATTTGAAATTCAGTCAGATGTTGAATCCCAGCATGTGGGCCACAGCATTCTCACTGCTAAAGGCATAGCCTTGCTTGGAAAAGGGAAGGCAGAAATAACTGGAGACCACAATGCTCATTTAAATGGTAAAGTTATTGGAACTTTGAAAAACTCTCTTTTCATTTCAGCTCAGCCATTTGAGATTACTGCATCCACAAATAATGAAGGGAATTTGAAAGTTAGTTTTCCCTTAAAATTGACAGGGAAGATAGACTTTCAGAATAACTATGCACTACTTCTGAGTCCTGCTGCCCAGCAAACAAGTTGGCAAGCAAGTGCTAGGTTCAACCAGTATAAGTACAATCAGAACTTCTCTGCCACTAATAATGAGAACAGCATTGAAGCTCACGTATCAATCAATGGAGATGCCAACCTGGATTTCTTAAACATTCCTTTAACAATTCCTGAAATGAATCTACCTTATACAACACTCACAACTCCCTCACTGAAAGATTTCTCCATATGGGAAGAAACGGGCTTGAAGGAATTCTTGAAAACAACGAAGCAATCATTTGATTTAAATGTAAAGATTCAGTATAAGAAAAACAAAGACAAGCATTCCATTGCAGTTCCTCTGGGTGTATTTTATAAGTTTATCAGTGAGAATGTTAATTCCTTGGACATCTACTTTGAGAATGTCAGAGATGATGCATTGGATTTTCTTACTACATCCTATAACAAGGCCAAAAACAAGTTGGATAAGTATAAAGCTGAAAAATCTCTCAACACTCTCCCCAGGACCTTTCAGAATCCTGGATACACCATTCCAGTTGTCAACATTGAAGTGTCTCCATTCTCAGTGGAGATGTCACCCCTCAGCCATGTGATTCCCAAAGCAATCAACACCCCCAGTTTCACTGTCCCTGGTTCTGACTTCTATGTACCTTCATACACATTAGTTCTGCCATCCCTTAAATTGCCAGAGCTTCATATCCCTAGGAATCTACTCAAGCTTTCTCTCCCAGATTTCAAGGAGTTGAGTGCTGTAAACAATATTTTTATTCCAGCCATGGGCAATATTACCTATGATTTTTCCTTTAAATCCAGCGTCATCACCCTGAATACCAATGCTGGACTTTATAACCAATCAGATATTGTTGCTCATTTCCTTTCTTCTTCGTCATTAGTCATCGATGCACTGCAGTACAAACTAGAGGGCACTTCACGTCTGACGAGGAAAAGAGGATTGAAGTTAGCCACGGCTCTCTCTCTGAGTAACAAATTTGTGGAAGGCAGTCATGACAGTACCGTCAGCTTCACCAAGAAAAATATGGAAGCATCAGCAACCACAACCGCAAAAGTCCACATTCCAGTTTTGAGAATGAATTTCAAGCAAGAACTTAATGGAAATACCAAGTCAAAACCTGCTGTCTCTTCATCCATTGAACTAAAGTACAACTTCAATTCCCCAAAGCTGTTCTCCACTGCAAAAGGAGCGATTGACCACAAGCTCAGCTTAGAAAGCCTCACTTCTTACTTTTCCATTGAGTCATCCACCAAAGCTGATATGAAAGGTTTGGTCCACTCACGGGAATATTCAGGAGCAATTGCCAGTGAGGTTAGCACTTACCTGAATTCCAAGGTTACTCGGTCTTCAGTGAAGTTGCAAGGTTCTTCTAAAGTTGACGGTATCTGGAACGTTGAAGTAAAAGAAAATTTTGCTGGGGAAGCCACTCTCCTACGAATATATGCCATGTGGGAACACAGTATGAAAAACCACTTACAGCCATGCAGGCAATTTTCCACACATGGAGAACATACAAGCAAAGCCACCCTAGAACTGTCCCCAAGGACAATATCTGCCCTTATTCAGGTTCGTGCACACGAGCTCAATTCTGTCCTTGGCATTCCTCACTTTGGGCAGGAAGTGGCCCTGAATGCTAATACTAAGAACCAGAAGTTCAGCTGGAAGAGTGATGTTCAGGTTCACTTTGGGGCTCTCCAAAACAGTCTACAGCTTTCTAATGACCAAAAAGAAGCACGCTTTGACATTGCAGGATCTTTAGAAGGACATCTACACTTCCTCAAATTTATCATCCTACCAGTGTATGACAAGAGCTTATGGGACCTCCTAAAACTGGATGTAACCACCAACTCTCAAAAGAGACAATATCTTCATGCTTCAACTGCTCTTGTGTACACCAAAAACCCCAAGGGCTATCCTTTGTCTGTCCCTGTGCAAGAACTGACTGATAAATTCATTATCCCAGGGCTAAAACTAAATGATCTGAACTCAGAACTTATCATACCTGCATTCCAAGTACCATTTACAGATCTTCAGATTCCATCCTACAAGCTTGACTTCAATGAAATAAAAATCTACAAGAAGTTAAGTACATCATCATTTGCCCTCAACCTACCAGCATTACCCCAGGTAAAATTCCCCCAAGTGGATGTCTTAACAAAATATTCTGAACCAGAAGATTCCTCGGTTCCTTTTTTTGAGATAACTATGCCTGAAGTTCAGCTAACTGTGTCCCAATTCACTCTTCCAAAAAATCTTTCAGTTGGCAGTGCTGTTTTGGATCTCAGTGAGGTAGCCAACATGATTGGAGACTTTGAGCTGCCTACCATTACTGTGCCTGAGCAGACAATTGAGATTCCTTCCATCAAGTTCTCCGTACCTGCTGGAGTTTTCATTCCTCTTTTTGGAGCATTGACTGCACGTTTTGGGGTGTCCTCTCCCCTTTATAATGCCACCTGGAATGTTGGGCTGAGAAACAATGCAGATCATGTTGAAACTTTCCTGGATTCCACATGCAGCTCAACCTTACAGTTCCTGGAATATGACCTAAATGGTAAGGAAATGTCCCAATTCCTCTCCTAGCTACTCTATGTTTGCAGCACAAGTTGTGATTAAATAATTACTTATTGGGGTAACCCACTTTCCAGGACCCTTTCTGTCTATCTCAAACAGAAGCTTTCTTTCTCTCAATAAATTTTTCCTACTCTCAAAAACAAATTACTTATTTAGTTATGACTAGAGACACAATTACTCTCTGTAGCAAAATTTAAAAGAAAATAAGACATACATATGCAAAAACCAAACTGTAGAAGATCCTCTGACATTTAAGAATAGGTTCAAAGAAAAGAGATTTTGCTATGATTTGAGTACTAATAATGTCTTCTCTTTATTAAAAAAAAAAAATGTGAAAGCAGACACAGTGGCCTGCACTTGTAGTCCCAGCTATTTAGGTTGCTAAGACCACAGGATCACTTAAGCCTAGGGGTTTGAGGCCAACACAGGTATCATGGGGAGACTCTATTCAAAAAGAAAAATAATTACATAAAAATAAAAAGTAAAAACAATTATAGTAGTTGGGGGTGTAGCTTGGTGATAAAGCACTTTCCTAGCATGGGTGAGGCCCTGGGTTCAATCCCCAGCACCACTAAAATAAATAAATAAATAAAATTTTTAAAAAGTCTGAGCATATGACATGCTTTAAACACATATCTGAGGGGCTGGGGATTTAGCTCAGCGGCAAAAGCACCTGCCTGGCAAGCGCAAGGTCGTGAGTTCGGTTCCCGGTACCGGAGAAAAACCAAAAAAAAAAATAAATATATAAATAAATAAACACATATCTGATTAAGATATAAACCTAGCTTTCACAATGAAAACATCTACATCTCATAATTATTCACTTAATGAAATATATAATCTCTCCTACACAGTTGTGGGAACACACAAAATTGAAGACGGCATGCTCAGCTGCAAGACCAAAGGAACATTTGCCCATCCTGACCTCAGCGCAGAATATAAAGAAGAGGGCAAATATAAAAGTCTTGAGTATGAACGTTTTATTGAACCTCTGTCTCTTTTACAAAAACTCTGTGTCCCTTTCTTTATGACTCATGTGCCTGTCTGCTTTCAGGGACTGGGAAGGGGAGATGAGCCTAGACATCATAAGCCCAGCCTTCACCGAGCTCCATTTGCGCTACGAAGAAGATGAGAATAGCATGTCCTCCTCAGCAGCCTCTCCGGCCATAGGCACTGTGGGCCTGGATTTAGGAAAAGAAGGTGACCACAGCTTCAAATGGAACTTCTACTTCCAACCTCAGGTGAGTCCTGGGATTGAACACACCCAAGAGCAAGTAGCAAATTGGAGCAGATACATTCAACTCAAGACAAGTCTTTTAGAGCATCCTTAAACTAGGTGACAGATAGATGGCAAGCAAACCATGCTTCTTCACTGGAACTCTTCTCCAGAAAGTACCATGATGGCTCGTTCACTAAGTGTAATCATTAGACACACCCATGACAATCTTAACACCATAATCACCTCAGGATAAATCCAGAGAGATGAGTATTACACCTCCCTACCTACATCACGGGCAAACTCTGCCTTATGCAGAGTAAATTGCTTTTCAAATTATGGTTTTTGGAGTATTTGAGATTTCAAAATTCTTTTGCATAATAGAATTATTCAAGGAGACACATCAAATTCCTCTTGCGTCATTTATAAGCTCTACCAGGGGTTTATGGAAGATGCTAGTACCAAAAGGGAGACTTAATCCGGTTTTATTACTAAAGTTTGTCATGGACTTGGAGAATGATACTGAAATTGGTGGTCTCAATGTCTGCTGGCTGGGCTCTGGAGGGCTTTCTCGTTTTTTATGCTACCCTTATCTCTCCCTTCCTTCCTACTCATTGTCTTCAGCCTCCCTTCTCCTCTCCCTCCTCTCCCAAACTGCAGTCCCAGGAAGACCTTTATGTTAAGTGTCACTGTTAAATGCCAAATGTGTTTTTAATTCTTTCTAGTGCATATGATAAAGAGAAATTAACATCAGTGGGTTTGTTTAACCGTAAAACAAACACGTGAACTGACATATGGGAGAAAAATGCCCTTCAGATTATGATAGGTCTTTTAATCTTTACTTTTAACTGCTAATGAAGTTTTAGTGTGGTATATTATGTAATCAGAGTAATTGAAAACATGTTCCTCTCATCTGATTTTTTTGTTTTTGTTTTTGTTTTTCTGGTTTTAGTCCTCTCCGGACAAAAAACTCAATATATTCAAAACTGAGTGGAGGTACCAGGCATCTGATGATAAAATTCAGATGAAATTTAACTGGGAAGAAGAAGCAGTTTCCAGATTGCTGGGATCTCTAAAGGACAATGTACCAAAGGCCACAGGAGCCTTTTATGACTATGCTGACAAGTACCATCAGGAGTACACAGGACTCACCCTGAAAGATGCTTCTTCAAAGCTAAAGAGAAGTCTGCAGGAGAGTGCTGAAGGAGCCTACCAAAAAGCCATGAGGCAGCTTGATGAGGTGGAGGTACAGTTCCACAGAGCAGCTAGTGGCACAACAGGAACCTACGAGGAGTGGAAGGAAAAGGCCGAGGATCTATACCGGGAACTGTTGGCTGAGGAGGGACAAGACAATTCCCAGAGACTCAAAGCTAAAATCTTTGACAGTTTAACACAAGTTACTCAGGAGTCCCAGATGGCAGTCAAGCATCTGTTCGATTCATTCATTGATTTCCTGCAGCTCACCAGAATCCAGTTCCCAGGGATAGCCGGGACATACACTAGAGATGAACTCTGCACAATGGTCATAAGGGAAATTGGGAAAGTACTGTCCCAGGTGTATTCAAATATCCATAATGGGTTAGAGAAGCTGCTTTCCTTTGTCCAAGACCTAGTGGGAAAATCTGAACTAATCAAAGACCTGCAGATAAAGTTTCCTTTTGATTCAGAACCCTATAAACCAGCAGAATTGATTCTCAATTATAGGAAACTGTTGGAATCTTATTCACAAGAAGTCCAAGAGGCATTTATTGACCTCCAGTCTACCAAATTTTCAGAAAAACTGCGTTACCTCCAGAGCCTTTTACAAAGAGTTTTCCAAGAAATAGAAGCAGAAATTAAATCCTTAAAGGAGACCAGATTTATTCACCTCATTAATACTATAAACACAATCTTCAACACATATATCCCATTTGCTTTTGGTGTGCTGAAAGAAAGCCTATGCCTTCACCTCACAAAGCTCAATGAATTTGTTCAAATCAATCTTCAGCTTGCTTTTCAGGGGTTGCAGCAGATCCATCAATATATACAGGCTCTTCGCCAAGAGCATTTTGATCCACATGTAATTGGTTGGACAGTAAAATACTATCAACTTGAAGAAAAGATAGTTGACCTAATCATGAACCTAGTAATTTCCCTTAAGGACCTCCATTCCATATATACAGTACGTGCTACCAACTTTGCTTCCCAGCTCTCAACCCAGTTTGAGCAATTTGCACGCAAAGAAGTCCAAGAATATCTTAGCATCTTTGTGGATGCAGAAGGAAAGGGAAGAGAGAAGATTGCAGAGCTTTCTAACACCGCTCAGAAAGTAATTAAAACCTTGATCACTGCAATAAAGGAGATCATTTCTGATTATCAGGAGCAGTTCACATCTAAACTACAGGAGTTTTCAGACCAATTCTCTGATTACCATGAAAAATTCATTGCTGAGTCCCAAAGATTGATCGACCTATCCATTCAAAACTACCACATGTTTCTAAGATATATCACTGAGTTTCTGAAAAAGCTGCAGGCAGTCACAGCCAGTGGTGGGAGTCCCTACGTAAAGCTTGCTCCAGGAGAACTTACTATTACTTACTAATTTTTTAAAGCAGTCCTCACTTACTGGTGTATTACAATTAAACTGTCACACATAATGGGCAGGAAATTCAAACTACTGATAAAATATGCATTGAGCCAGCCTGCAGCAGGCAACTAAGGACAGGCAGAAGTACCTATGAACTGGACCTGCACTGGAGCTGGTGGGAGAGCTCTGAAGCTCTCTGAATTCTGGGGATGACTTTTTTTTTTCAAGTTAAACAAAACCAGGATCTGAGTTATTTTACTGAACTGGGCAGGAGGGCAAATAAATGGATTATGTATTGTGTATCATACCACTCAATATGGCTTATCTGTATTATAAGATCATGCAACTAGGGTATCACTTCAAGTATTCTAGCGTTTCAAAACCTCTAGAAGAACATATATCATGACTTACATGATAGAAAAGCGAAAGAGCATTATGAAGGGAGATATTTTATCACCTAGAAAAAAAGAGGCAATTGGTCTCAGGAACTATATTTGCCAAGTGAAAATAAAAAGGCATTCACAAAGATTTTTACCTAATTTGATCATGAGGAGCACCTCACCTATCTTCAGGTGCCACACAGTCTTCTTCACACACTTGCCTGCCTTTGCCAGGTAAGTCTTTTTGTTAGGCTTTGAGATAGATAAATCAACAGGCCTGCCAGTAATGAAGAAGGGGTGGCTAGAGAGTGCTGGCCTTAAGTGCTTCATGGCAGTAGGGACCCCAGAAAGCCTCCTTGTAACTCAGCCAGGAGCCACTCGAGACAAAGAAGTATGGTTTGGAAAGAAGGGATGGGGAAGTAAATGCTGAACATTTCTGTGATTAAGCACATATTTAAGTTCTTGAATTTGCTTATTTTTCCAAATGTAATATCTAATCATCCCAAATGGAATCAAAAGTCGGGGGTTTCTTTTCCTGCCCCATGCGCACACTACAAACTCTGATTGTAAACATTAGCAATTTTGGTCAGAAACTCCAGTCTGAGCTCTTGTAAGAGTAAGTTGCAAAGAACCCATGCAGCACAACTTTCACTAATATCACTGGGAAAAGGTAGCTATCAAATAGCACACTGCTTCCAGTGGCATTGGACAGTAAAGGAAAAATGTAACCTTTGGAGAATAAGAAATTAGAGGTTACTGGCCACCATGTCCTACATAAAGTCTCTTTGGAAAAGACCCATTTTTATCCAGCTTCCACCATTTTTCCATTAAGCCTTTATATTCTCTTGATGAGGCTCACTGTTAAAGTGCACAGACCTATCAGTACCTTAGGAGGATTCTGTTGTCTGGAATTGACAAGCCAGAAAGAATCTAAGGAAGTGAAATACTTAGTGGTATATGAATCTGGTATCTCAGGAAATTCTGTTGGATGAATTGGTGGATGGATGGATGGATGGATGGATGGATGGGTAAATATGTAAATGAAGGGTCAGTTTTGAAGGTGACAAAAAGGAGAATTGAGTCCAAATCCCAATGTGACACTTTAGTTGCTTTAAATTTAGTTCTACATTAGTTTCCCTAGTTAGCTGGGAGCAACAAAAATCTACAGAGTCTTCAACAGAAAAGAGGCCTGGAATTATGGGTAGATTAGGATGGCAAAAAGAAGTCTAAAGTTCTCTGTGCTCATGGGATGATATGAACTTCTAGGGATAATGTCAGGGGAAAGTAACCATCCATTCAAGCTGATCATATCACACAGGACTGCTTGCCAGGCTTGCTGACCATAGTCCCTCACTCAGAATGCTCATGGTTGACTTAGAGTGTCTTCATTATCTTGAAAAAGTCTGAAAGAAGAAAGGATCCTTGGAGAGCTTAGACTTTTCTCACTTCCTTCTTTGGTCTTCTAGTGGGTATCAGGATCATCTCTGGCTTTGACTAATGCCTTCACAGTTTTGGCAAATTGCTTCCCCTCTTGAGCCTTACTTATCTTACCTATAAAACAGATATAATATATATCTTACCAGTCTTATAGGACTGCTCATGAATGTCAGTCTAAAACAAAATATGGGGAAATATTTTGTAACATTTAGTGTCATGTAGAAGGAAAATGTCACTATTAGATGATTTTTTAAATGTACTTGTGAGGAGAGCGAATGGAGGTGAGGAGACCTTCCATTCCAGTGAACAGTTACTAAATGCTTCTTGTACTGAACACTGCAAATGCACAACAGAGGTGAGGAAGGTCAGTCAGCAAGACGCCATTACCTTCAGGTGCTACACAGTCTTCTTCAGCAACCTGCCTGCCGTTGCCAGGCATTTGCTATGCATCACTTTGCCCTTGGATCTGGACCTTATTTCTCCCTTCTCTCACCCTCAAAATTGACCCCTCATTTACACATTTATTTATGCATCCAGCCATCCATCTATCTAGCCAGCCAGTCATCAGTCCAATAGATTTTCCTTGAATACCAGATCCAAGTTGCTGGATGTTCATCTTTCCATCTATCAAAGCTGGTGTGTGTTGTCTTACTATTGATATTAAATAGAAAAACTTATGAAGAGGACACCATTATGGAAAAACTTGAGAGGGATCTCAATGATACATACACATTGAGAAACAGTACAGGAGAAAGAGCAGCTAAAAATAAGGAGACACCTGAGTAGAGATCCGTGGGTATGTTTCAAGAACATTGGGTTGTCCAGTTTGACCAGGGTACAGGAAAAGTAGAAGGGAGACATTGGAAAAGGCAGTGTTGCAGTATTGCAGGGCTTGAATGTGGGAGTAAAACATGGCACTTTTTCCTGAGAAGGGCATCAGGTGAAATTTGGAGTAGGAGAGTGATATCGGGTGCAACTCAGGACCTCCCAACATATACATAATGAGTTGTGATGGGATGAATGTGAGGCTATACCTGGTCCAAGAAAAACAGGGACCATCTGTGATTTGATGAGCACCTCGGTCAAGCTGTAACTGGTGAGAATGAGAGGGAAGGATAAAAGTAGCACCATGAAGGCAAAGATGATAGGATCAGGTTGTTGAGAACATGAAGGATGAGTACATAGAAATGGAACCACCTCATAGTCACTGGAGGTAGGCATTGGAAGGGTTGTGGGAGAGGTAAAAAGAACAGGAAGAACATGTAGTTTGTTCTGTTTTCTACTGATATAACAAATTACCACAGAGTGAGCAATTTATAAAGAAAACGAATTTGTTTTTCACAGTCATGGGGGCTGAGAAATCCAAGAGCATGACCCTCTTTGTAGTGATGGTTTCTCTGCTGTGTCCTTAACAGCAGAAGAACAAGCAATCTTGAGACAGGCAGGGAAATTAGGTAGAACCCTTTGCTTTTATAACTAACCTACTCCATTGATAACAACTTTAATCCATTCATAAGGTCAGTTCAAGACTTCAACTCTTAATACAATTGCTTTGAAGTGTAACTTCCCAAGACATGAATTTTGGGAGCACATTAAAATCATAGCAAAGAGTAAAACAGATCTCACAGTCATGACATTTTGAAACTGTGCAACCTAAAGAGTTATGGAACAAAAGTAGAATCATGGTGAAGGTGTTAAGACTGTGATTATTAATGTAGGGCATGGACTCACAGACTGTCAGAGCTGGGACAAGACTGTGTGCTTGCATGGTAAGTTTCAACTTGCAGTGGTGTGCCCAAGTGGAAAACATACTAGCAGAAAAATTGAAGACATGGGCTAGATAGCTGGGCATGGTGGCGCATGCCTGCAATCCCAGCACTCAGGAGGCTGAGGCAGGAGGATCGTTGTGAGTTCGAGGCCAGCCTGGGCTACAAACTGAGCTCAAGGTCAGCCTGAACTGCATAGCGAGACCTTGTCTCAAAAAGACAAAAAAAAAAAAAAAAAGACATGGGCTAGAGAAACAATAGCCAAAGCAGTAGGGACAAATGGAAATTTTAACTAATTAATATATCAATTTCATAGCTCTTTAGAAATTTAACAAGAAAACAGAATTCTCCTGTTGTACCACTTATCGGTCTGTTGTTGAGAATGGGTCAACATATAAGCCTCCTAAGAATGTACCATGAGGTGATGTGGAAAATCCAGCTATAAACATAGATGGATATTTCTTCTACAAAATAAATATCCAAGTTTAAGACCAAAGGAAAAATCAAATACTGAAGTCCACCCCAGGTCCCTTGAACTTCAGATGTAAGATCTAACTGTGTGCCTTGGTTTGACTCCCAGGTCGCACATAGACTGTGGCACTATCCTCAGGATAACCTTATGAGGAATGGGTCCATTTGGACCAGGTGTGACCAGGTGTCTTTAGAGTGTGCTCCACCTTTCTTCACCTTCCCACTCGAAGGCTAGCAGTACAACAGTCTGTCCGCCTTTCTGATGACATGAGGAAAACCTTGTCCGATTTCCCGTTCTAGGCCCCCTTTCTAATTTATTGCTTAGTCCTCATTCAGTCAAAGAAGGGGCCCAAATGGCCCTCAAATAGAGCCTACAATATGGGCGCCAGAGGGGACAAACAGATGTTCCCTCTAAAAGTGTCTAATAACCAGAGATAAATGTGCAGAAACAGACCCTACCTCTTAGCTCATCTCCCCATATGCTGTTTCACATTAAGAGGTCAGCTCCAACTCCCTTCCGAGTGCTCCAGTTGTTGGTGGGATGGTTGGGTGGTCACCAGCAAATAACATCCAGGGCCTCATAAAAGCTGGTGAAATAGGTACACATGTTTCCTCAAGGAAAGCCCTGCCGTTCCTTTCTTCTAAACTGGCTTCTTCCTTCCCTTCTCTCACCTTCTGACTCCTACTCCACAGGTCCAGCAGGCTATGCCTAGCTGACTTTCTCCCTGACAGGTACAGCTGACTCTAGGGTATAGGACAGCCCTTCAGTCCTGTGTGTGAGGCAAAGCCACAGTGCTTAATGGGATGCCCCAACCCCTCAATAACAGCAGAGGGCTCCCCTCTCTTTCTGCATAAACCACAGGCTCCACCAGAGGGTCTCTGAGGTCTGCAGAAACCCCAGGGAAACCTGGTCTCCCAAGTGCTCTCTGTGTGGCCATTGAGGCCTCTGCTTAGAAGAAGTCAAGAGATCTACATTCTGGTCCCCTCTGGTGTTGATGCAATGGCCTTTGTGACCTTGAGTAGATAACTGCCCCACTCTAAGTCTCATCCTCATGGTGTTCACAGTATTGACAGCTTGTAAATTGAATGTGACCACAGGGGGCCCTGCTTTAAGCAAATCCAATACACAGAGAAATATCGCCCCACAATCACAGTCAGCCAGGGCTAGCTGCCTAAATCTGCCCACATTCCCCAGCCTCCTAAGTCTTCTTCCTCTTAAATATCTTTAAAAACCCACTGGGCCTTAAGGTTCTGTGGACTC